ACGATTCAGAATGCACCTGTCGTCACCAGCGGGAGCATTTATTACTTCCAGTCTGGTGCAGTGCATTCTGGTAGTTGTAGGATTTCTACCACGTAAGCAAATGCCACAGCCCTTTACTCAGTTTTCTGTTGTCATGTAGCACCATTTAAAAAGTATTTGTGTCTCTCTACTGCATAGGGAGCCCCAGTTTCATGGGAGGACCATCTTTCCAGCAGTGAAATGGTTCTTTAAGTTGAGTTAAAACCACAACCCTCGCCTTTGATTACTGATGATTCATTTCCATGTCTGAGCATTATAGTACTGATTAGAGATGGTACAATGCAGATTTGGGTTTTGTAGGTCAGTAGTTGAGCCTGTGGTCATAAAGATAAGGCCCATCCTTTTTATTTTTCATTGATTTTTTTTTTCATTGGAAAATACCTGTATATTTGTGTATTTATTTTTTCAAAGGAGATTGGTTCACTCCTCTGTCCTGATGCACTTTAAAGCTGTGTTTCCTGCTGCTGGCAGACTTCCAGACTTATTTTCACATGGATTCTTTGTTTGTTGATTGCTGAAAGTAAATGTATTGTATTTCTTTATTTCATTTTATTGTTTATCTCATAGAGCCAATGCACAGTACTTTTTTTTCACCGGATATTCAGTGGCTAAAAGCAATTTTTATCTGACTGTGGTCCCATAACAGTCTGTGATGCTACAAAAACAGTTGCTGTTAAATAAAAATAGTGCACTTCAAACAAAACACATCGTTAATACCAGTTACCGATACTAAAATGCCAATTAATACCAAAATTAAAAAGGAACTGTAGTGCCTAACTAGCCCTCATAACATCTGCAGGCAAAAGCATAATTAAAGCATAAAATAAAAGCAAAATTAAGTAATTTGTAAAGGAGAATTTGCCCTTCGTATCAATGCAGTCTTTAAGATTGTCCAGTGTAACTGTTCTGAGTATCCCCAAGGCATTTCTTCAGTAGTCACCTGTTTTAATATTCAAAACAAGCCCCCTTTTTTATTTATTTATTTTTATTTTTTGAAAATTAAAAATGATATGACATATTGAGCAGTAATATTTCTTAACCAACAGGTGCAAAAACAAAAATGGAAACACATTTCAGCATTAGTCTAGTGTTAAGCGTATCAACTATATTGACGTGTTCACAGCTGCAGAAAATTGAGTGAGGTGTGTAGAGGGGGAGAGCCTGTACTCGTGCAGACAGGATGGTGGTAATAGGCTGTCTGAGTGCTTACGGGATGGGAGGGGGGGGTCTCCCACTCTGAGGCCAGAGAGCCAGAGAAATGCACTTCTAATGGCTTATCCAAAGGCGTTCAATGACAGTTAACCTTTCCAACTAATGATTAAGGTGACTCTTAATATGTATCACACATCGGCCCCAGATAGCATTTAGTCAGCAATGGAGATAAATGTGGGACATGAATATTGTATAGCTTTAAAATGCCCTAGATCCCACAGCATTGCCGTCTCAACAGTGATGGCTATTCCTGTTCAAGGTCAGTGAGACGGGGAGGCGAGGGAAACCCCAGCCCAGTCTCTACACCAGTGAAATTGGAACCTTCCAGTGGGCTCAGGTGACTTACTGCCACACAGCTGAAACATAAAGTAAGAGATTCAGAGATGATGTGTGAGGAATTCCCACAGCGAGGCCCAGTTTGAGTAAATTTGCCTTCGGTCATGACAAACTAGGGAAGGATCTCTTGGAGCTGGCTGTGCAGCAGATGTCTGCTCACCTGCCAGTGTCAGTTACACGAGCGTTACATCTTCATGCCGCTTTATTGCCCGCTCATGAAACCTCTGGTGCAATCTACTTAAGTGGCTTTACAATTGTCCTTGTTTCACCTTAGTGTATCTTTATATGCTGCCTAAGGCAATCATTTGTTGTAGTTTGTTTATTGATTTGTGTGGAAAATACTCACACCAACTAAAGTGGTAACTAAAATTGAGAAACTATAAGAACCTGGAGTGTTCTTTAGGTAAAGTAAGCCAGGTTATTGAATATGCTGTGTTGACGTTCTTTCTCCTATACTCGTGATAAGGCATTTTTTTTTTTTCTCAGTGGGTAATTCTTCGAGATTAGTACACACATTGTTGTATGGCTGGTTCCGCCAGGGAATGAAGTTAAATAGCGGATGGGCCTCTGACTCTGTAAGTAGCAATCATAATTCCCCTCTAAAAGCTTCATGCCACTTAAGTTATTAACATTTAATTCTGCAACATCAGAGTGGATTAACCCATCAGACAGTGTTCTCATTAAGATCTACTCATTGCATCTTTTTTCGGGAGTGCCTCGAGCCCTTTCTGTACCTCAGTCTGCCAAAGAGAAAGATTGAACCTGTGTTTCACCTCTGTTCTCTGAGTGCATATTTTTCACAAGGGCAAACACTCTCTTCTTGTCTGGCTTCAGCTTTAAAACTACTGTTCAGTCTACCAATTAATGAGTTCATATTGGGCAATTCTGAAGTGTATGATGTAAATCTTGTGCCAACATCCAGGTCCAGTGCAGTAAGTAGTGCCATTTATTTAGTGTAGTAGATGGGTGTGCAATGTGCTCAACTTTTGGCAAATACAAGGGTTCTCATCAAAAGTCAATCGTTTTTCCCCAGCTTTAACCAAGGAGTTTTGCGGCCTACCTCTAGCCAGGCCTAAGAAAAATATTTCTTTTAATTTGTTTTTTTGTTTAAAGGAGACTGTCACACAGATTTAAACTGAAAATAGACAAGTTTTTTGCTTTAATTTATAATTAAGAAGTAAATGTTGGTTGCTCAATGTAATGGCTATATAATAATGACATGTCTGCATTTAGATTAGGGCTGCATCTGACAATAATATTCACTGTTGATAAATCTGTCAATTATTTTCTTGATTAATCAGTGATTTGTTTGATTTAGAAAATGTCAGAAAATTGTGAAGAATGTCAGTCAAGTTTTCCCAAAGCCCAGGATGTCTTGTTTTGTCCACAACTGAGAAGATCTTTAATCTACTGTCACAGAGGAGTAAATTAACTAGAAAATATTCACATTAAAGATGCATCCCCCCAGCAACTGGGACCATGAAATGAAACGAGAAACCCTCAAAAACAAAAACTCAATAAAAGACCGTGTGTATGAACATGATAATAAAAATTACATTTATTTCTTTCACAGGACTTTAACTGAACGTTGCATTTTTTAAATGTCATTATTTTCGGTGAAGTGAACTTAAAATTTATCATCAGCTTTATCACTTGTGTTACTATAATAAACACATTGTGTACATTTGAGCATGTAATCACAACAAGAATATAGAGGTCATTGCATTAAGGTTGTCAGAAGAATCGATTCCATGTTTTTAAACTATACAATCTCCATTAACTATACAGTATTAATTTAGTAGTATTGAAAGCACCAAAGCTATAAAAAAACACTGATCTACGGTCATATTTTCAACCCAAGACTGCACAGATGAAAAGAAATGGAATGAGATCAACTTGTCCTCAGCCTTTGCCAAAGGCTGAGGACAAGTTGATTTCATTCCTTAACAACCAAAGGCCTTTGGTTGTTAAGACATTCTTTACAGCAGTGAACACATCATGTGACGGGAGGAGTGAGCTCAGCAATTTTTTCTGTAGCAAACTGTGCGCAGGTTGTTAATATTTTAAAAAACTGCATTGGGTATTGATGGTTCTCAAATGGTGTGCCGTTTATGTGATAACCACACCTTGTTATTGTAATAGTCAGCTGGGCCTATACAAGTTATAAAAAATGTAATGGAATTTAATTTAAAAAACCTTCACGGGGAACCTATCGGTTGCTGTTCACGCATGGGAATTATAAGTGTGTGACACATCAAAAGCCCTGATTGGCAGCCAGTGTGAGGGCTGATGTCATTTAAAAGGAGAAAGCTGGGTAACACTTTACTTGAAGGTATCTACAAAAGGGTGACATGACACTGTCGTAACTATGACATGACACTGTCATGAACTTGTCATAAACATTATGTACATGTCAAACGTTTAGGACTGCTGTCATTAAGTGTCATTCAGTTTTTGTAATAACAAGTTGACATTGTTTGGGTTGTCTTGATTATGACAACTTGACATTAATTAAAGTGACATTACCAGAAGTTGTCTTTGTCATGACAAGTTGACATTAAATTTGTTTGGGATGTCCTTATAATGACAACTTGACATTAACCAGGATGACATTACCAGATGATGTCTTTGTCATAACAACTTGACATTAACAAGGAATGCACCTCTTTTTTTGTTTGTGACGAGTTGACATAATGACTGATACAAAGACATCTTCTGGTAATGTCAGTTTGGTTAATCAAGACAACCCAAACAATGTCAACTTGTCATTACAAAAACCGAATGACGCCTTAATGACAACAGTCATAAACGTTTATGACATGTACATAATGTTTATGACAAGTTCATGACTGTGTTATGTCATAGTTATGACAGTGTCATGTCACCCTTATGTAGATACCTTCAGGTAAAGTGTTACCGAAAGCTGTGAGTTGGACAATGGATCGCTTTATTTACGGAGCAAATTACAACAAAGCACCAGCGAAGACGACCTACCACTGAAAGAAAAGAAAAAAACAGTGGACAGTATCATGAAACCTACCTGTCTTATTTTTTCTTATTTGGTGAGCCTTGGGTCCAAACAGTTTAAAAAACCACTGGTGTATTGCATGTAGCATTTTCTGTATCTGCTTTGTTCAAACATGATACATTTCCTCTGCAGGTTGTTACATGACTTTTGTTGTGAGTTCAAGTGTTGCGCACACTGGTGAAGGTGTGAACATGGATATTTGTGGGCTTAATAGATCAACAAGCAAAATAGATTGAGCAGGGAATGCACAGAGTCGTCTGAAAGTGACCTTTAAGCCAGTGGGTGTCTTTCTATAGACTGTAAATGCCTTTATTTTAAGGTAGAAAAAAACCTTACCACATCAGTAAGAAGACTAGATCCAAACACTTTCCTCTTATCTTTCCAGAGTGTTCCTGCGGGCCATTAGTCAGTATGCAGCAGTGTTGAACAAGAAATTTCTGGATCAAACCAACTTTGAGCTGCAGGTAAGTGCTGAACCATTGAAGCCTTTTTTTTTTTTTTTTTTTTCAACAGCCTTGATAGCAGCGCCCTCACCCTCCCAAAGAGGCATGTTCTTTTAGTCATTTTAAGTCCTATTAACAGCAGCTTTGGATCATCACTTCACTGCAGTTTCGCACTGAGGCTGTTTTTAATGTTCCGGATGCAGCATTGTTGGACCCTCTGAATAGAGAAAGAGAAAGAAAAAGATCACTGAAGGCAGTAGACATAAAAATTGTAGAGTGGGAACATCAATTACTGTGTAATGGCCGGCAATTTGATGTGCATTTCAGAATATTTTAACCTGCTCCACCAGAATAGAGCAACTTTTTTTCTTCTGCTTGCTTTTTAAATGTCTGACATATGGGAGAAAGTTAATGTTGTCATCAGCTAAGCTGCTGAGCTTTTAAAGCCTTTATGGATTGATTATTTTAACTGTTTGTGTGACTTACAGCACTTGGAGACTTCTTTATGGCGAATGAATAAAGCGTTGAATTTTCTTTACTTTAAACTACAGCCTGATGGTGTAAAGATAATTTATCTGGATAGAATTACACAGACCATTTTACTGCTGTAGCCTAAACAGTCGTGTATTTTTTGCTTATGGGTATTCTCATAAAAAGTGTCTACTCTATATCCTCATGAAGTCTCCTGTTTTGTGTACATGAATGGTAGGGATGGGAATCTAGGGACCCTACTGATTTGAGTCTGATTTAGAGGGCTACAATGTGATTATAAAAATTGTGATCTGCTTCATCTTTATAGCAATGAGCAAACTGTACCCTTCCTCCAGCTTGCATTTACATGTAAAAGGGCGCGTATTGTAGGGAGACACCACTGCAGTAATGGCTACTTGTTTACTTGCGGTACTTCCCAGTAGCCTAAATCACCGCCCTCTCCAACCACTGGGACAGCTTCCCAACACACAAGCACACCCATCACATCTAAACCCTTTGACTAAATGAAACTATAAGGCCCTCCAGCCAACACTGAATGATATTGTTGTGAAACTGCTTTTCACCTATGAGTTAAATGCTGTTTCATTCTTTCAACACCACACATTTTGTCTCTGTGTCAGCTGTGGAACAACTACTTCCACCTGGCTGTAGCCTTCCTCACCCAGGAGTCATTGCAGTTGGAGAACTTCTCAAGCGACAAAAGAGCCAAGATCTTCCACAAGTGAGTGCAAGTGCTCTCTTTCAATCCACAGGGCGTACTCATTGCACACCGACACAGCTCAAGCTCCCTCCGCAGCATGAGAAGGGTTTATATAATTCATCACACGGAGGCTCGCAGGGATACCCAACACACCGTGGCTCCAGTGGAAGCTGCTGTAGTTGTTCGCCCTTCTGAACAAAGCAGAGCGGCCTAATGGTAACTCCAAGGGTTATGGAGAGCACATGAAAGCCCAGGTATCAGACAAGGCTGGGAATCCCCTCTTGAGATGTAGCTTATGGTTCGTCCTCCCTCAGCAGATGAAGTGGACAAATGTTGATGTCACATCGCACAGAGTTTTTAAGCCACAAAGTCTTGCATTGCAGTCTTGATATTTATTGCTTATGAAAATCTACTCTAAGACCTATCCCTCCTCTCAGTTATGAGTTCAGAGGTGGTTTTGTTTCCCGTTCATCCACTGCCTGTGTCTACAAAAACCATTCATCTACATTAGTATTTCTCATAGAGTCTGGTAATGCAGCCAAACGTGTAAATGCTTTCTGGGCAGACATGGAGCATATTGGCTCTCATCTTCATTTGGAGGAGCTTTTGTCATTAAAGCATTCATCACACCGGCCCGTGCCTGACAGCGAGACTCCTCGTTGGTCAGTGCTTTATTATCGGACCTGATAAGCTCCCACACAAACAGCCAAACACAGCAAACAAGACGTTCCCAGCCACCCCCACCCTGCCTTTTCTCCACTTGTCAGCCTTGCCCTGAAAAACATATTCACATACACAAGAACTGCCATTCCTGGCTCAGAAGAGGACTGATCTCTGCCATGCTATTTCCAGACTGTTTATTTGACATTCCCAAATATGTCATTCAAACACAACCAGGTAGCTTCCAGAGCAATGGAAGAGGATATTATACAGGGTTTGCCAATTTCTCTTTCACCCACTTTTTCTGCCTCTAACCGCCCACTCTTTCTCTCTGTCTCTGTGTCTGTCTCCCTCCACCTACAACTCACCTTCTCTCTTTTACCGTTCCGTCTCTGCATCCCGTTTCCCTGTGTGCTGGCGCATGAACTGTCAGTCCTGCCTGCAATACCAATTATTGTGCTTCGCCTGGGAGCAGAGAACAGAGGGGTGAAATCAGAGTTGTGTCGAGCGTGGCTCTTTAGCATCGGCTTTTCTCCCTGCGTCACACACGTCTTTCAGTGCTGTTTGCGAGGATCTGGACCATTAGTGGGGTTTGTGTGATCCTCATTTCCTTCTCACATTTACATCAGGACGCTGGCAACAGGCTAACATGTCGTTACAGTCTGAATAGGAGGCTAAATGCATCTGTGTGCAGCCATGCTGTGTCTCTAGACTGCAGCAACAATGTAGATGGATACAGTGTTTTCCGCCAAAAATAATACAAAATTAAGACCAAAGTTTTAAAGGTCCAGCGTGTGGGATTTATGGGTCTTGTGTCTTAAAAATAAGAAACGGCATGTTTTTGTCACCCTAAAATGAGACGTTTATATCTACATAGTGAGCAGGTATTTTGTATTTTTGTGTCAGTCACCATAGTTAGCAGCCACTTCAGGATGATTTTTTTTTAATGTGAAACTGCTTTACTCAGTGTTTTTAGCGGTTTAAATCACCTGTTCCGTTTGTCTTAGGGGGGAATAGACATTTGTGGATAGTTCAGCTCCCAGTAAAAAACCTCCTGAACATTGAACACTGAAGGAATCCTAATGCTTGCCGCATGAGAGAAGTCTCAGCAGGTTGCAGTCTGCGATCCTCATTCCTATGTGCCACTAAGTTCCACACACTGCTCCTTTAAAAAACATAATTTGTTTTTATTTATTCATGTAGAAAGTTCTGTCCAGAGATGAGGAAATGCAGTTGCACATACACACACACACACTGTAGCTTGGTAAATGAGCATGCAGCAATGTCATTGTTATGATATGCACAAATGAGTGATGAGAAGAGGGAGTGTCATATTGTCAGGTTTTGTGAGTATCTCACACTTGCTTTGCTTCAAGCTTTGATCACATCTCATCTGCTCTTACAGGCCACAGCTTGTCAATCACTTGTGTGTTTTGTTCTCTCTCGCTCTATCTGCCACCCTGTCCGCATTGCTTTTCTTCCATCTTCTCTGTCTCCATCATCTTGTGCTTCTACATCCATTTCCTCCTCTCTCCTCCCAGTCTTGCTCTTTGCCCTCTTCTGACCCAGTGGCATTACACAGCACAAGCTGCCAAGAGCCCCAGATCCACTCGCCGCTCACCGCTGTCCCTCTATATTCTCCTTCTGTTATTCTTAGTCAACCTCTTCGAGAGCTTTCCGCCCCGCAGCTGACAGGTATGCGTTGTAGGTCCTGACAGCCGACAGTCATAGCTGCCTGTCTCGCTGCCTACAGGAGTGTGACAGAACAGCACCCTGCATCTGCCTCAGCTCAGATGAGGACATGCTGCCTCCTCAGCAGTCATCTGCACGCCCATATGTAGAGACAAACCTGCATGCTTCCACTGGCACACATGCATGCTCTAAGAACAATCGTATAGAAACAGATGCACGCAGGAGTAAATTATAAGACACACTCGAGATGCAGAGTGTGGATGAGGGGCAAAAACACTCAAAGATGTAATACATAATGCATGCAGCTTTACAGTAATTTATAGAGGCAGGCATCTTTTTATACTTTATCATCTTGCCAATACTCTGCTTAAAGCTCAATCCCTGGGCAATACTTCCTCCCTTTGACAGCTAAATGTGGTAAATTGTTTTGACCTGGCCAGACTACAAAGAGGTGACGCAGCTCCTTCGCTAAAGATTCTTTCAATGCTCTTCTCCTTTCTGTCAAAATACGTTAGTGTGTCTTTGTAAAATATTGGCAAAACAATCATTTGGGTTTCAGAATTCCGTCAGGGCTCCAGGGTGCTCTGAAATGTCACAGTGTGTGAAGGGGGCCACTGAATGTATATTAATGAGAGGTCAGGAGCGGTGTCAGGCTTAGACTTCAACTTCTCATCTTTTTCCTTCTCTGCAATGTCATACCAAGGTGTCATGCCATCATTGTGCTCGGGAGAGGAGACTGTGCCTCCGTGCCTCCATCAGTCACTCAGTGTGATAGTCTGATGTCAGACAGGCCTGGTTCTTGGCACAGGCAAACAATGCAGTCGCCTGCAGCGCCACCAGCTGGAGAGGACATGAGACTTGGGGGAGGAAAAAAGTTATCACCACGTCTAACTTTAAATGCCCCTCAAAGTGGTGTCAGATATTTGATTTATGGGGTTTTAGATGCATTGCGATTAGAGTTAAGCATGCCTTCGATTTACCATACTGTGGTACTGATGTACACCTTAATGAACTGGATGTTGTTAGAGTGAGTGAAATCAGAAAGGCTGTAATTTATGTCTCTCTTTTTTTTTTTTACATTCTAAACTTCTGTTGTGGTTTTCTAATCAAACTTTGAATGTCGGTGGCCACATTTTATTGTATTTTAAAGGCCTAGTGTGCTGGATTAAGAGGGATTTAGTGGAATTTAACAGTGCGGATTGCAGATTGCAACTAGCTGAAACTTCTCCTGGTTAGAATTACTTCAGTGTTCATTCAGGAGCTGAATTATCAACAGAGGTCGCTTCCTTTCCAAAACAAATGAACCCAGTGGTTTACACTTGTAAAACATTCTGCTACACATCATAATAAAGCATGTGACAAAGCATGATAACATATTTATGCTATGGCAATATGACTCAGTTCATATTCGGGTCTGATAGGTCAGTGTTTGAATGCTGATGTGGAATTTGAATTTCAATGTGATGAATGAAGCTTCAAGGCTGTGGACTATTCGGTACAACCTTAAAGATCAGCAGCATATTCATACAGTCACACACACACAAACACAGTCAATTTTCAAAATACAACATAAACTAAAATCACATAAAGAGAGGCTGCTTAAGGCCCTGATCACACAGAAAGTGCTTTGCAGGTTGCAGAATGCAGGGCGCACCGCACTCTTTTTTTTAAATTGAATTCCACTAATGAAAAAAACAACAACTAAAAAACGCTGCGCTTTTTTATTGTTGCCAGGCAACCATACCAACACATCCTTACACTAACCTTCCCATTGTAATCAATCTACAGTTTTTTTTTTTCCCGCAATAATAAGTAACTCGTTCCTAAAATGTTGAGGCAGAGGGCACTTGCTGTAGCTCTGGTTGAGGGTGAGAGGCTGTCAGTAAATAGTTTGTTGGGCACAGGGAAACAGAGATCTGTGTGGGTACATGAGACCCTAAAAAAGAGGGTGGATCATGGGGAGTACCACCACTTGGTCCAAGAGCTTCTTCTCCATGATGGAAGTTTCCAGGCATATTTTAGGATGACTCGGGGGCAGTTTGACAACCTGCTGTCTATTGTCGAGCCGTATAGCTCTGGGTATCCAGCAACCGCTACCACCAGTTTCTTCTCTATTGATCACTGACTGTAAACTTGGGGCCTTTTTCTGGTCTGAGTTGAAGTTTTTTAACTCGAGTTCAGAGCGCTCTGGCAAAAACACCAGGCAAATAGAGCGCAGAAACTCAAGGCACCTCCCAACACAAACTCCACAAGCAAAAAGCTTCATTCTCATTAAAGTCAATTACAAACAGCTGCCTCCAGCTGCTAAAATGCTTTCTGTGTGATCAGGGCCTTAATCTGATCTGAAACCAGTTAGCTACCTTTTGTACAAGATTTGAGGGAATTTCAACCAAATAAAACAACAGTTACTCTACATTACCCTGCATATTAAAGTGATGTGTCATTTTATACACACATTTCAATCCAAATGAGTGATTAAACATATTAGAGAACTGCATGTTTTGATACATTTCTCCATAGACTCTGCACGTAACTTCAGTTTTAGTTGTCCGGTCAGCGATGCAGACACATGGCTTGGTTGAGAGCAAGGACTCTGGGGGTTTGGCACTGCTTCCAAACAGAACCACAATATTGCGGCTCAGTGCAGTAATTCCCCACGGTGAGCCAGCAGTGAAAATACATCTCAGCATGCTATGGCAGGCCAGTGGAAATATGGTAAAAACAGTCGGAAATGGCTCTCTCAGGACTGTTATCTCCATTGTGTTTTCTATATTCTTGATCTTAAAACAATTTCAGGCTTGAACTTCTCTTCTTACTTACCCATTGTCCAATGATTTTTCAAATAACTAAATCCATTACTTTGGTTTCATGTGATCGTTTTCACAGAACCGGTCACACTTTCTGCCTCTCTGCCCACTCCTGTTAGTCTCTCCATCATTCACTGTCTGTCTTTCCCTCTCTGTCCTTTTATGCTTCACTATTTGTCCTCCCTGTGACCTGGGCCTGTGTGGCAGGCAGGAAGACGGGGCTCCAAGCTGCCGTGGAGATTGGTTCACGACCTCGACATGGCAGAGCTGATCAGCTTACAAGCCCTCATTCGGAAAAGGGAGACAAAATGTCAGAACGGGAGTGATCCTTCCAGCTTCTTTTGCAAATCTTTGTTTTATATAAGGGCTCTTGACACCCCAAGTCGACCTCAGCGAACTAGTACCAACGGAGACTGTCTGATCCAACTCTCTGGCTTGCGTCATCTGTCCTCTGTCAATTACATATACACATAGCAGAAGTCAGACCACAGCTGACAGCCGTATGCTAAAGCATATAGATATGTTACAAGCTTGCATGACTGGAATAAATTCATTAGTGTGCATTTGTGTTGCGAAGAACATCACGGAAAGACAAAAAAGTCACTCACCAGAGTCTCATTCGATTCTTGTGCAACGGCCATCACTCAGGGATAGATGAGAAGGGACTAAAGAAACTGCTATCTGTTCTTTATTAAGCTTTCTGCAGGAGGACACATAGAGAGCCGTGTCTTATACTTGGCTCAAAGGGGCACAAAGCACAACGCAGCTGTCTTTGCTTGTGTCAGACCAACGCAGATTTCATTTTCATGGCTAGTGCCCACACTTTGTAAGCAGCAAATGTATTTGCCAGCAGCTGTGCGCCCTACACATGAGTGAGTGTAGTCAGGTGCATTGTTTGCATATTGCTGTTTTGAGGCAGCAGAAACAATTACATGATTGACAAACAAAAACCTTGTCTAAAGTCAAGGGTGCAGAATTTGACTGCTCTTTAAAGGGGGCATTATTCAAATAGTAAGATGCCTCTACATAGGCAGGTTCACAATAGGCACATTGCTTCTAACACACAGGAATGCACAGGTGGGTAAAACAATAATCCATCTTTAATGAGGTAAATAAAATGTGAACGTAGCAGAGAGCAGAGCAGAGTTGCAGAGCTGCTGTCCAACCCTCACTAAGAGGCACACTGTGCGCATTAACACATGAGGAGCAGCGTGACTTCATTGATCATTTCAGAAGCCAAAAGTTTAGTTTGATTTCCCCTGTCAAGTTTAAAACTGCAGTTTTAGTTTTGCTGCTTAAATGTCCCACAATATTTGCTGCGTGACATCACTGCTCTAACTTCATTACTCTGAAAGAAAACCTCTTGGTTCTCCAGTTTGCTGAATCCATCATGTAAATAGCAGGTGTACCTGGCTTTAAAAGGGAATGGGAGATAACACTCTAACACCCAAAACACACCTATGATTAATTAAGGGACTAAATACAACCCCTTTGCACCCAAATTTTGCCTCATTTAACTAACAAAATTGGAGTTGGACCCTCACTGCACTTGCTCCATGCACTTTAAACAATTCGCTATAAACCGTTAAAGAATAGGGCCCATCATCTTTAGCTTGGTCTCTGCACATATGGACCTCCATCAGAGCACAGCAGCACTCAGAGGGGCTGTGGAATGAGCCGAGAACAGAAGAAGACACGTCTGATTTAGTAAAACAAATTGATAGCAACTGTCACCCAGTTATTGTTTGAGTTGCATCTCACTGCATCCACTGTGTTACAGATGTCCACTGGAAGAGTTTAAAGAAGCAGCCTGCTTTTCAGCACCCATATATATGTTGCGTTTAGATCACTTTTTTTTGATTCTCTTTTTTTCTGTCACCTTAGCTGAAATCTTATATTAAAAAGAAAAAACACTGACTTTGATTGTAGACACTGTAGCACAGCTGGAACATGACAAAGCCATTCATACATACAGTATATGTTACATTGCTGTACGTACCTAAAGTTGTTAGCAAGTCCTTTTTGTCCTTTATAATGCATAACATTTGACCCTGTTTGTGTTTCAGGTACCAGGACATGAGAAGACAAATTGGCTTTGAAATCAGGGACATGTGGTACAATCTAGGTAATTTAACCAACATCTTGTGTTATTATTTTTCATTTTCACTTCTTGCCAAAGACATTTTCTTTAATAAAAAATGAATGCATTGATAAAAGAGCAGTCAAACAAACTTCGCAGTACAAGCCAGCAATTGACACATGTTGATTCTTGTTTATGGTCGTCTGCAAACTACTCTCGTTAGCAGTCATTACAAATCAGCTCAGCAAAGAACAGCAGCTAAATATAGATAACTATGTGTTAATTAGCTTTATGCTGTGCAATGAGAGAGTCAATTCTCAACAGAATGAGACTGTGGTACAGGGATTGTGGTGTTAGATTTGGGCACCTGTGCCTCCCTCAAAGTCTTCTCATTGTAACCCACACCATCTGATCCCCTAATTAGAGCTTTCCACCAGATTAGATTGACTCATTCACTGTTTTCTAATGAGCTCCGTGCTATTTTTTACCTGAGGTGTTTAGTTTGAAGTCATTAACCGCATGAATGTCATGGAAAATTCTTGATGAGAGACTTGACAAACACAGGGAGGCAGATTTTTTATTTTTTTCTAGCAGCTAATTTTAAATTTGCAGCACTTTAAGGATTATTCATGCTCTGTTAGGATCAACGTGTTGTGCTCAAAACAGATTTTAGTCTACAAATGAGTTGTGTGTACTATGGATTTATATATAAATGTCCTTTTTTCCCTCTCCAAGGGCCCCACAAGATAAAATTCATCCCAGAGATGGTGGGTCCTATCCTAGAGATGACGCTAGTCCCCGAGATTGAGTTGCGAAAGGCCACCATCGCCATCTTCTTTGACATGATGCAGTGCGAGTTCCACTTCACATGCAGCTTCCAGCGGGTGCGTGCTCTGAAATATGACAAAGCATGAGGACTGTAAGAAAATGACTTCATGAGAAGTCGTATGTGTTGGTGTGGGAAACGGTAAAACAGAAAAAAAAAAAAAAAAGTTTTCATAGCCACAAGCTTATTTGTAATTCTGCAAATCTCCTTTTGTTGTGCTCCGATTATCAACAGTCACGGTGAGTGGAACTTAATGTAATGCCCCGTTACAGTGCAAAATGAAGCCTTTCTGCATGAGGAAATCCGTTTGGCTACAGCTGTTCAGCCATGAGATGTCTCAGGCAGTTTTCAGCTTTGTGATGTTTATGTGGGCACGCAAAGTATGTGATGCTTATTGTGCTTGGATCAAATTGTGAAGCAGCACAATGGCTACATGTCTCTGCTGGCCCTTGTAGTCATGTGAAGCATGTCATAGTTTAACCAATATCGTTTCCCTAAGTGAAGGGAGCACTGCTGATTAAGTCAGTGTGTCACTCAGGATCTGGCTCATTGGAGGTGAATGCCACAGTTTTTCCCTTTTAGGGAGACACCCCAGGTGAACAGGATAAAAAAGATATCACAGGGAAACCTCCCCAGTTGATGACTTACATTAAAGGTTCAGTGTGTAGGATTTAAGGGGATATATTGGCAAAAATGGAATATGAAATATGTATGTTTTCTTTAGCATATAATCACCTGAGAATAAGAATCTTGTGTTTACATTACCGTAGAATGAGCTGTTTATATCTACATAGGGAGCGGGTCCTCATCCACTGAGTCCACTATGTTGCACCACCATGTTTCTACAGCAGCCCAGAATGGACAAACCAAACACTGGCTGTAGATGGGGCCATTTGTGTTTTCATGTCACTGTAGTTAGCAGCCCCTCCGCGATGGGCAACATCAGAAAAATACAGATTTTTTTAAGGTGAACTTTATTCAGTGTTTTTACCAGCTTAAATCACTGGGTCAGTTTGTTATGAAGAGGAAGACACCTCTGCAATAATTCAGCTCCCGGTAAAAACCTCCTGAACGTCTGGATCTAGAACAAATGTAAGCATACATTTGCAGGTACTAGGCTAGCGGCCCATCTCTGACCAGCTGAACAACATTGGAAAAACACTGATTTGTAGTGTGCAACTGCTTTATTCAGTTACCACCGCACATGGTCCTTTAATTTTGAAGAGGAGGAGACCTCTGAGGGTAATTCAGCTCCCGCTAAAAACCTCCTGAACAATGAACACTGAAGGAATTCTAACCGGGAGATGTTTCAGCTGGTTGCGATGTACAATCCTCACTAGATGCCACTAAATCCCCCTAAATCATACATGCTGCTCCTTTAAGACAGTTTTCTCAAACTGTATTTTTAAATATGCAAATAAGCGATCATCCACTTAAATCCACTCATGAACCACAATTAATTTAATCAACTCTGGTGCCAGGCCTCAAACTTGAACAAGAAATGAAGAGCATATCACCCCATTTTTGCTTACGTGCACTGGCTCCCAGTGTGTTTTAGGACTGATTTTAAAGTCTCTAAATGGTTTGAGAGCAGCCTGCATTACTAATTCTTTGTCATTTTATCATCCTTCACGGACTCTTAGATCCTCTGCTGCCATTTGTAATAAGAAAAAATAAAATTGCCAGCTCAGCCTTTTTTAACTGTGCACCCGAAATTAAGGAATTCTTTACCCAAGGCCTGAAGAGAAGCAAGCTCTGTGAACATTTTTAAAAGACAATTGAAAACCTATTCAGTCAGCATTGCCTTTAAGAACTGTTAATTTTCTGCAATTTTATGTGCATCTTTTACGTGATTAATCCTTCATATGCCTTCTTATGTATTCTGTTTGTAGCATATCTGTTTGTGCTGCCTCTTATGTTTGTTATCCATGTAGTTGCTTGGTTTTATCGTTCAGTCTTTGCCCTTTTTTAAAAAATTGCCCTTTTTTATTCTCTTGCTCCTCCTTTTCTTGTAAAGCACTTTGAGCTACACCCCCTGTATAAAAGGCGCTCTATTACTAATATTAATTATAATTATTATATCATGCACTAATTAACATAAATTTCTAGAACAAATATTTGGATAAAGCCAGGTTCAAAATTCTTGTTTAATTTTGACAGCGGGAACTTCGTATATTTCTTTTAATCACTCCAAAATATTTTTGCCATATTTTAGGAATACAGTTTTATATAAATGAGATTATGAATGATAAGAACAAACCTTTTTTTACCTTCTGTAAAAAACAAAAAACAAAAAAAACAACAACAAAAAACAGATGGAATAAAGATTAGAATATGAGAAAACAAAATTTTGAGAAAATAGCATTTGAAGATATGAATTGTAAAATTATACTAAACTAAACTAAATATATTCTACAATTGAAATATAAGATAAAATATACTACAGTTGAAAATGGGATAAAAACTAATAAATATCACTGTGAAACTTTTCCAGCTGGTTATATTAAGACAATTATTGCATTACAAGTTTTCTGATTTTATTTTAACTGAATATGCAAATATGCATTTTTTTTAACATAAATTAAATACAATATCCGAACTAAAATAAATCTTAATTTGTATTTTGGACATTTTCTTTCCACTAATCTAAAAGAAGACATGTCATGAAAGCAAAACAGCTCAAAATCTTAAAATATACTAGGGCATTAAACAAGTTGTTTTCACCTGGAGAGTCTGTCCTTTCGTGAAATGTGATCTGTTTCACATTCGCCTGAGCCATTTTTTATGCTTTAAAACAGTCATATTCCCTTTAATGGGTCTCTCTCCTCTGCTGTGTGTTGGCTTAACAGAGAGCAGCATTTATATCTTTTCTTACTTGGCTGCACTCTCCTCACCTGATCTGTGTTTGTGTCTGGCCAATACCCGAGCAAATAAAGAAGTCAGGGAAAATTGGTTTGTTTCAGCACAATAAAAGCTGTTTTTTTTTCATACAGCTGCTACATACAAATATCAGAGAAATTAACTCCATGCATCACTGTCAGAAGCCGCAGCAGCAGCAGCAGAGCAAAAGCAACGCGGATGTGTCTCATGATGCAGCGTCGTTCTGTGTTCTAACCAAATTTATACAGATAATAACAAGATAAGAGAATAATGAACGGCAGCTCACAGCCAGCCGGGCTGCAAGAGAGGGACAATTAAAGTCAGAGCCCAGATCGCCTCGGCCAAGCCTCGACATGGAGAGAGAGTGAGACAGAGAGATGGCGTTAATTAATTGAAAAATTAGCTACACTGATTATTTACGCCTGCTCTGTCTAATTGCAGTTTGAGAACGAGATCATCACCAAGCTGGATCACGAGGTGGAGGGGGGCCGCGGAGACGAGCAGTACAAAGTTCTCTTTCAGAAAATGTAAGTGCTGATTAATGGGCAGGATTACGCCTGAGCCTCTCACAAGTAAGGTAATGCTAATTGCAACATGGCACTCCTCAAAATAATCACAGTGTGCTGATGATCACACGACTATCACAGCTTGCCACCATTTGCTTTCAGCGCAGTTGGATGTTAACTCTGATTTAATGGGCAAAAAAAAAAACGTTATTTCTCTCGAATCCTTGGTGGCACGAGTCTGACATTTTGAACTGTCGATGAACCTCTTATACATGCTTCACATTTGTCTTCCTCTCTGCCCCTGGCGTCTGTTCTTCCGCAACCCCTATCCAAACAAACACACACCAGTTTACTGGAGCACTGCAGGAAGCACAAGTACTTGGCCAAGACGGGCGAAAACTTCGTCACTCTGGTGGTGCGTCTGCTGGAGAGGCTGCTGGACTACAGGACCATCATGCACGACGAGAACAAAGAGAACCGCATGAGCTGCACTGTCAATGTGCTCGTAAGATTCTTTTTCCTCAGTCCCTGAAGACACACAAACCCAGTAATGATGACACATACAGACATGTGGGGAAATGTATCAATCACTCTAACAACAGTTATCAACAAGATCTATATTATCCACACGCAGGCATTGTTCGCAGGTTATTATTGCCAATAAAATGACCATTACAACGTGCGACTACCCACAGTGAAGGAACAATAACAACCACATGTCACAGTGCATTAAGATGTTATCACAGAGCAGCTCACCTGAGACACCTCTCCTCTGTGAAGTGACATTTCTTCTCGGGGCACTGAAATGTCAATTTTGTCTCACGTGACTGCCGGCATCGAAAAGACTACAGGCCTGTGGCCTATATTCAGCATTTATCTGAGTCATGCTCTCTCAGTGCCGTGCCAGGCTGTGTAAAATGTAAGTTTTCAGTTTTAGCCAGGGGAGCATTGTGACTCACACCAGTGTATTCTGAAGTCAGCCAACTTACTTTTCTTTACTTTTATGTCTGCCTGCTGCAAGCCAGGTCATTGGTATTCATCCATATTATAGAAAATTAAGTTGTCACACTGCCAAAATATTATTCTTTTAAAAGATTAAAAAATAATCTACAGTCCAGTGATTTCTGAAGTTATGCAATGTAAGCATGATACGCTGGACCTTTGTAAACAGTACAATGACGCTGTTGTCACTAAAAGTTTATGAGCCTTTTTAAACCCCTTTTAATGGTCTCTTTCTTTCCTATAGAACTTTTACAAGGAGATAGACAGGGAGGAGATGTACATCAGGTAAGTCATATCCAACCTTGTGCCTGTGAAGCGTTTTTAAATTTGTGGACAGTCAATCTTTTAGAGGCGTTTTACACACAACACTAACTCCAGAATTTCTACTGCATGGTACAGCATGGCGCTACTCAACTCAACTTGCTCTCTTTTGGTTTTCCATTGTCAAAAGTTGTGTTGGCAATGCAAACACACTGGTACGTTTCCCATGCAAGTAAATTAACATAGTGAATTTAAAACCCACCCATTTAAGGCTGCTTTCAGACCTAGAGTTGTCTTGCTTTGGTCTGAATCAGGGACTAATTTTGTTACAAAGCCGCATAATTGCCTAGAGCTGGTTCGTGTTCTCACGGCAGCATTTACAAGCGGACCAGATAAAATGCCTTGTGTGAGAAAGCTGCTCTTGATTGGTCAGAATTTCCATGTGGGAAAAATCCAGGAAGTAAAGCAAACGTTGAAGAAGAGTACACTTGCAAGATAAATGTGACACTCTCTAATGTCACAATGGAGGGACAACTACGCAGGTTGATTAGTCAAACCATACAGTTTGAAAACGAGGCGCGGCTCCAACTAGAAAACAATGTTTTGTCATGATGATCTCAAAGTGAAATTTATCTATGCTCTCTTCAAAGCCAGACTCCAGTACTAAGGTTCTTTAGAGAAAATGCATGTGTTTGGGAAGAACTGAGCCTACAGCTGGATAATTGACTTGGATTATACTGCACCAATTGTGTGAGAGTTTGTAAATGGATGTTGTGATACAGTTTTGCTGTTTTTAAACGCGGTCCCCAATCAGTCAATAAATGAATATGTTCACTGTTTTCCATGGAGGAATTCAAGGTGACACAGCATGACTTTTTCAGTTCTGATGGTTAAAATATTCCTTTGCCTGCCAAAGAATTACTGCTATACATTCTGGTCCTGTTCTCTCCGGCCGTATGTCCCCAGAGATCCAGAATAAAATATTAGGTTTTGCTAAAATACATTTCCATTTCTGCAATCTCTCAAGTCAGAGTTATCCATCTGTGTGTCGAGTCTTATTTGAGGTAAAAGAGGCTGTCAAGACGCATCAGTCTGGCGGAGTTAACTTTCTGTCCGTTGTTAAAGTGTGTGAGGCCCACCCAGACATGACCCATAAATCATTGCTTTTTCCTGCCAGGTACCTGTACAAGCTGTGCGACCTCCACAAAGAGTGCGACAACTACACGGAGGCAGCCTACACTCTGCTGCTACACGCCAAACTGCTCAAGGTACGCAGACACAATATTGACAACAAATCAGTGTCGAAGCACACACTAGTAAATACTTCAAACAGAAGCCGAATACACCGTTCAGCTATTGTCAGGCAGATGGCATTTAACCTCAGGCATTAAACAAAGTGTGTATCTGTGAATTTGAATGTGTACAGGATTTAGAGAGATAAGGCCACATCCCTTTAATCCCAGCATGGCATGAGATGGCTACAAAGAGGGCAGACTTGCTGAGCAGCATCTTTTTTTCACCTTGCGTAGTCGATGCAAATCACAGCCAGTATCTGATCTCCCCTGGAAAAAAAAAAAAGCTAAGACATAGTTTAAAGCAGAGGATAAAGCAGCAGCAGCCACCTGAGGTGCTTCAAGATAAAGGGGTACTTTTACTGTCCTCTTTGTCAGCTGGAAGCGAAAGAATCCTCTGCTATAAATCATAGTGCAGGCACTTCTGGTTTGAGGTGGAAACGGGGCAGGTACCACACTTTTAGTGCAATGATATTTCAAATTAGATGCATAAATATTTATAGGATATCATGAAGCATTTCTTTTAAGATCACACCTTTTTGTTAACGTAGGCCTTCTCTAGGTCTGGAAAGTTTTTTATCTTTGCCAAAAATATATCACATCCACACACACAGAGCCACAGTGTCTATTCCCAGACGGGGTTTGGTATACTCTGAATTTGGAGTTGTTCCTCTCTGCCTTTTATCCAAAACGGTTGCACCCAACATCTCATCTATATTTGCATAAATAGCTGGCTGCATCCGCCTTTGTACAGGTCCCGACAGGGGAGAGCAGGCTGTGACTGAATCACATTTTCCTCGCCGAGCAGTCACAGTAGCATTTGCAGGAGTTGTTTTTGTTATTATTATTTTAATTCTGCTCATCTCCCGGCAGCTGCGGCGTTCCTGATCATACCTTCAGAGAGGGGATTCACTATTATATTGTGGAAATTGGTTAATTTTGTTCCACCAGAATCTCGATAAATCTTTTCTTCTCCAATAAGCAGTCCTGTGTAATCTTTGAAGACACTGTCCTCCTTTTGTATTCACACACAGGCATGTGTAAACCAGCTTGAATGAGGATGAATGATGGATGCATAATTCTGCATCCACCAGCAGTTCTCAAGTAAAACTGGCTCCTGTAGTAATAATTAGTCCTCCAGTAGAGTACCTGCAGCACTATAATAACAGTTGATGAATTTGCGGCGCTTTGTGTATTGTCAGAGATGTATCAGCACTTTGGTTCTGTCGATGCAGCCATCCATGAATAAACAGAGATCTTTTTTACCCCGTAAATGCTGCAGTTTAGTTGTAAAGGAATCAATAACCTGGTCCAAAGCCTCCCAGCATCCCTCCTCATGCCACGGCAACAATGTGCAGGGCAATTACTTTTCCGCCCATCTCCAGCACTGGGTATGCAAATTCCTCGGCTTTGCTATTCAAATGTGGCCTTCACACAAAACTTGGTCCGATTTTCACAGAGATCTTAACTCCTCAGGTTACTTGCAACACTACAGAATCCCAATTAAAACTGGCCGGTAATGAATCGGTCCTGGCAGCACGCAAGGGATTATGCTTCCTCAACACGGAGGGCCAATCAGATTGTCCATCTCCCTGTTAGCCAAGCTGCTCTAGCTTGTCAGAAACCTCATTATTCTCCATGCCGGGCAAAGAAAAGGCATGATGGAGTACACGGTCAGCACAAAAGGAGAATACCCCCCCAGTCTTTTTTTGCATCACTCCATCCTCGTCTGCCGCTTTTCACAAAATCAAGCAGAATTTGTAATGAATAAGATTACGCTAATGCATGACTCAATTGTATCTGATGTTTATTGTTAGCATGAGCATAAATGATGCTTCTCTGTGCTCCCTTCGCTCCACGTCACTGGACTGGAAGCCATCCAGTGGGGTAGCGCTGTTTTGGGTTGTTGGTGAGGTGGTTGGAGCAATGAAAAACTATACTCAAGTAAAAGTGCAATTACTCCATAACAAATGACTCAAATTGAAAATCACCATTTGAGAAACCTACTCAAGTAAAAATTAAAAAGTGCTTGGTCAATAAATTACTCAAAGTACAAGATACTTTCCAATTTAAGTGACATAAGTAAGGAAAATGTATTTATACAGCGCTTTTTGCAGACAAAGGTCTCTAAGTGCTTCACAAGGGCAATATACAACAAGAAAGAAAACACAAGGACAAGGTGACTACAAGAGCCACTCTGGTTAAAGTGTACAACTAGCAAACCAATGGCACACGGAAAAAAAACAGTACACACAATAAATAAATAAATAAATAAAATACAGTTCTGGTACATACAAGTTAACCCAAGGCTTCTCTAAACAGGTGGGTGTCACCACGAGTCTTACGGTGAGCGCAAGGGACAGACATTGTACAGAAAGTGTATTAGATTGAAGAGAGTGAGCTGAAGACATTGGGTGAAGTAGTTCAGCCACATAAGAGGGAGCCTGACCTTGTAAATGTAATATTGTTAGGATGTGTGGGCCAGTGCAAAATAATGAAAAAACAGCACTTGTTGCTAAAACCTTTAAGAGCAGGAAGGTTAACCAAACAAATAGGAAAAGCCCTTCCCAAGTCCTGCCCCTTTTTGCTATGTGCTCCAATAACAGTTGAGCAAGCTTGGAACAAGGCAGGACCTCTGTCAACTTTCACCTTTCCTGTTATATTAGATATGCTATGTGCTAAATGTTGACCAGAAAACAAAATTTTGAAGATGCTTAAAAGCCAGGAGAATGACGCAATCTTCACTGACACATTACCTTGAATGATGTCCCCTTTTAAGTTAGCTAATGTAAGCAAAATGCTATCTAACTTTATTTTAAAGCCCGATATCAGAAATCACAATTTGCCTCAGACAAGCCTCATGTCTTCCTTTCTACCTCTCTCTGTCTTACCATAACATCAAAAATAATAATACGCATAAAAAATTGACATAGATAGCATTAGCTAGTTAACTACATAATCATGTATAGTATGTGCAGCTTACTTCAATGTGCTTGTGGAGGTTGGAAGAGGAGTTTCTAAAAGCGGAGATCTCAGTGGTTTTTCAGGAGCTACAACAAGCACTTCATCGTGTAACTGTTGTCTGGTTTAGATTTTGGTATAGACCGTTTCAAACCGGACAACATAAACATTCTAAATGGGTCCCTTTGTATTTCCTGTTTGAATGTATGTTAATGCAGAAACTGACAAGAAGTAAACAGGGACCAAAGTTGTTGCCCTAGCAACAGAATAGCAATGAAACAGTCCATAAAGTGTGGCCAGATGTGGTCAGAAAGCTGACTCTTGTTCTGGGTTTTGCTCCGTCATCGTCACGGCGTAGTCAAAAGACAGGTGGTGCTTCTTCTTTTCTTCCAGGCAGCTGGTAACATGGCATCTGCAGTGGAGATGCTCCTCTCATGCTCACCCTCCCCTACACTCGATTTCCACACAGCAGACTTATTGTAACAAAGATATAAATTACAAATGTAGAGAAGAGTTAAAAAAAAAAAGACCATGAAAAGCACTTGTTTCTTTAAAAAAAAACTTTCTTACTCTTGCATTATTTGTGATATATCACCGCCCACCCCTGAGTATTAGCCACAGAGAGCCATGTATTACACTGATGCTCCCTCTGAGCCATTCAATACGTATCGACGCATGTTTCAGTGCCCATGTCTCGAGTTTCCATCTTGCCCTGCACTCTGGCAGGGCAAGATGGAAAAAAAGAGTTACACATCAATTTCACCCATTTGCATTGGCTATAAGTCAGTGATTGATTTCTTGTCACCTGTTCTCCTTTTGCTCTGTATTGTATTGCACCACGCTGACCCAGATACTAACTTGTCCCCTGCAGTGGTCGGACGAGCAGTGCGCAGCCCACCTGACCCAGAGAGACGGCTACCAGGCCACCACTCAAGGACAGCTTAAGGACCAGCTCTACCAGCAGATTATCAATTACTTCGACAAGGGCAAGGTAAGACACACAGGCATTCTGACACACACACACACACACAGACAGACAGAAGACTGGTCATAATCATGATAAATCCTGGACTGTGAGGATGCTATTTTTAGATGCTGTCATCTCTGTTAAATACCTCTTCTGGCATGAGAAGGCAGGTTTTGAAGAAGAGCTGCTGAATGGAAGTTTCATATTCCTTTCCTACAGAACAGGGATTGTAAATAATCCTCCTTTTTTAGCTGATGCTCTTATGGACGAAGGCGCATATCAGACCACACAAGCATTAATGTGGCTCTTTTGTGTTGTCCCCTACCTTTCATAAAACCCTTTTACCTGCATCTCTCCCACTTTCTCTTTTTCCTTCATACCACTTTAGTGAGGTACTTGAATACCATCTTGGCTTTATACCGCCCTATTGTGACGTGATATAATGTGCCGTTCATATGTACCTCAGATTGAGAAAATGTTCTACTGTGCTATTCTTCTACGCTCTTCATATTTTGTTCCAGAGGAGAAAAATGTTTTCCAGTCTGTAAGCTAAGCCTGGAATGGCTCTGCAGGACTGCAGCCAGAGCCTCTCAGAGATGGTGTCCCAAGGCTGTGCATGTGTCATCAGTGTTGGGGTGCAGCCGCCACTCTTGGTTCTCTAGCCAACTGTCACTCAGCAGGATATGGCCTGGGAGACAACAAATTGAAAAAGTGTTGGCTAAACAGACACACACAAACACAGCAGAGTGATCAGGAAGTGTTACAGTGGCTGTAAGAATACATCAACACTCCAGAAAGAGAGTGGAGGAGGAGGGTATCAACTGAGGACAGTTTCTAAGAGTGTCATCGGAGTCATCCAGAAAGCAGTCCCAGATGGTGTTGCCACCACCACTCTCGCTGATGGCAGGCTGATCTGAGTAGCAGCCTGGACTCGGTCCACCTCCAGCCTGGCCCAGATCAGTTCAGCCCAATCGAGTCTGTCAGGAAGCCACTTAGAAGCCTTTCAACATGTTCGAGTGCCTCCCATCTATCTGTGACACCACTCCACTGCACTGGATGAGTCTCGAGGGGAGATGCGTCACTATAATAAATTTGCTTCCCCCAAAGAGGATAGCATCTGAGTTTTAGTGTTGTAGATCAAATTTAAAAAAAAAAGAAGAATACTGACAAGAATAATTAATATTTAAAAAAACAAGCTTGTATTGAATCCCATTGCCTGGGAGAGATAATTGTTTGATTCAGCAGGTTGGAAGAGGAATGCTATATCTCAGCTTGAATCTTGATAATTCATTTACAAACTGCCTCTGTTTGTGTTTGTATGTCCAACAGATGTGGGAGGAGGCAATCATTCTGGGCAAGGAACTGGCTGAACAGTATGAGAATGAAATGTTTGACTTTGAGCAGCTCAGCGCATCCTTGGTGAGTAATGTGATTTTATGTGTTGAACTTTAAAGTCTTAAATGGAGTCGTTTTGGTATGTGGACTATTACTCCTCTGACAAACAAAAATTAGAGCACATTGACCTGAGTTTTTAAGAGGGAGACAGGATGATGTGTTTGATTTTATTTATTTAACCCAGAAAGCCTCACTGAATTTAAAATCACATTTTCAAGAGTACTCTGGCAGCAGCAACATAAAAGAGATGATTCAAAACTAGATGAGAATTAAAGGAATACTTTACCCTTCAAATAACCAATTTTATATCAGTTTCTCACTCCAGGTTACATTGAATTGATAAAGAAAAAGTTTTTCTCTCATTCTTCAGATGAATGAAGAATCAAAAAACACAGAAGTTGTGATGAATTTAAGTAAAAGGGGGTTGTGGTTAAAAACAGCAAAACTCTAACAAAACATCTGTTTGCAAACACTCGCACAACTCGTGCAGTCTAATCCAAGTCTCATTTATCCAGTTGATGCTCAGAATGTCCCAAACACACAGCCTTTTCTAACAGGGACCTAACTGAAAACACCGAAGTCACAAACAAACAAATTCACTGATCGAGGAAGAGGTAGACTAGCAGCTCCCGTGTTGAGTGAAGCAAAATTACTGTTTTTGTCCATGGAGTCTGGCTTTGAAGAGAGCATGGGAGCTGCTGGTCTACCTCTTCCTCGATTAGTTTGTTTGTGTTATTGTGTGACTTTGGTGTTTTCAGGAATTACTTTGGATTCACCAAAGTCACACAATAACAGAAACAATTCACCAATCAAGGCAGTGGTAGACCAACAAATCCAGTGTTCAGCGAGGTAAAATTACTGTTTTTGTCAATGGAGTCTGGCTTTAAAGAGGGCATGGATAAATGTCAGTTCTGGTGCGGTTCCCCATTGGAAAGGGCTGTCTTTATGGGAAGTACTAAGAGTATTACTGAATAAATAAGGCTTAGATTATACTACACAAGTTAAGTGAGAGTTTGTAAATGAATGTTTTGATAAATGTTTTGCTGCTGTTAAACATGGACCCCTATGACTTCAATTCATCTGTTAATTTTCTCTGTTTCTGGATTCTTCGATCACTGTGAAGGCATGACTAGTTGATAGACAAATAGTCAAGTGGGAGCTGAAGTATTCCTTTAAACAACAGGTGACTTTGTGAAATTTACCAATAAAATCACCAATAAGGATCATACACGATGAAATTCATCACTGTTTTTCCATGACTCTGAAGCTCTCCTTTGTATCTCCCATCAGCGGAAGCAGGCCCAGTTCTATGAGAACATAGTAAAGGTCATCCGGCCCAAACCAGACTACTTTGCTGTTGGCTATTACGGCATGGGCTTCCCCTCCTTCCTACGCGTGAGTACTCGCATCAACATACATCCCCTGCAACTCTCAGCAGCCCGCACATGGCTGATAGCACAGTGTGGGCGAGCCACTTGTCAAAACAGATGATCAATAGATTTACAAGTGCTTGCTTAGTTCTCAGCCTCAGCCGTCAATTCGTACGTGCTTCACACGTCTCGCTCCCACGGGTTTTCGGTTGCTTCGGCAAGACTCACTTGATCAACATCCCACCTGGTCTGGTTTTCACTTACGGTTCACTTACTTACTCACAGAAAACAAACTGTGAATCATAAGCAGCTGTCCCATGTGTGGGCTAGAGAGAATATCCAGAATTATGTGCTGGACGGATGCCCTACAGTGAAGGAAAAGTGGGTCTCTTGGAAAAGCTGTGAATAAAGATCTCTTTCTCTCCCTCACAGCCTCACGCTCTTTCATTCATGGTCTATCTCTCCCAGCTCTTGTGGCCTTTCTTCTCTCTATGTATCTAATATCTGCCTGTTTGTAGCACGTACTGTTACAGTCACTCTGTCTGCTCCTTAGCTGGTCAGTCCTAAAAGTTTCCCTGAAGCCCACTATTGCAGGACATCTTTCTGTAAAGCATCATCATCCTGTCTACTTTACACTTAGTGGGTGTATTGCTTTGTTTATAGTTGTTTGTTTATTCTGTGCTTTGGGGGTACAGTGAGTTGGCATAGCAACATGATTTAACATTTTTTTATCTGGCTGTTTAAGGCCCAGGTGTATTGCTCAGGAGGAAGCACAGTGACGAGTGTGTAGCTGTTTGTGTGAGCGGCTCTCGAGAAAGCTGCAAGCAGCAATACCACAGCCAAAGCAATTGGCCTGTTCTGAACAGGCATGTTTTGACCGGGCACTGCACTGGTAGCTATAAAGACTGTTGAGCCCAGACGAATGAGCACAAGAAAGAAGCCAATCTTGTTTGTCCCATCAAAAGGCTGATCACGCTGCAAACACTGCCTTTAATTCCATCACCTGAACTTCAGCTGAACACCCTTTTCTCCACGCCGTGAGTGTGGCCTGCATCACAAGGTGTCTCACCAGCACCTGCACAATAACAACAACAACAAAAAACATGCACCCGGTACAAAGCGAAAGGAAGTGAGATGGTCACATTGTAAATTGCTTTCGGTGGCTGCTGAATCGTGGGTTATAATCCCAAAACGTTCAGACCTGAGCTTGTTCAGATAGTTGGACCACAGCGGTGGGACTGCAGCCATCCTGAGCTCTAAAATGACCTCCATTAGTTGGCCTTTGATCGTTATGAATTAGACACTTAAACTGAATAATCACCCTCAAGTCTATTTAGAGCCCTTACCAAGTATACTTGGCCACTAAACCTGAACTGATGTGTCTTTCCCCTCTAAATGTCTTGGCTGGCCTCATGCCAATCTGATCGCAGCTTATCACAAATTTAGTATGCGTTTAACAGCCGTTTGATATCTCCTCACCTGCCGTCTTCACTGTCTCGGGTGCTACTGTGTGCATATCGGACCTCTTTTGCTCTCTGTCTGTGAAGGAGGTCCTGCTCTGTCCACATATCAGGTTTTATTTAAACAGAAAATTAAATTGATGTAGGAATTTCTCCGTGTGAGGCTGCATAGGTTTGATATGAGGTCAGAGATTTTGGCCCCCACATCTTGTTTATAAGGAGCAAGACGGCAGTGCTGTTTGCTTTTAATATATTCCTTGATAACAGCTGTTTTTAGGCTGTCATCAGGCACGCTGCTGAAGGTGTTGTTAAAGCCATTTTTACACACAAGCAACACACTGAAGTCCTCGCGGAATAAGATATTGTTAGAGTCCAGTTTCAAGAGCAACCCTGATTGTACCCTTTTCGTTCTGTTATGAAGAACAGCCACTTCACAGGGGTCTTTCGCCGCTCTCCGATATCCATGTGCCCCTCCTAAGCCCTTTCATCTAGCAGGGCAGCAACTGCATTACAGACAGGGCAAGCTACAGCGTTCTAATCTAACTGGCTGTTTAGACAGCCTTTAAAGGACAGCTTTGACTTCTCTTTTTTCTTATTTATTTTGGCGGCAGATTGACCTTACCTGTAATAACCAGGGCAAGGGTACGGCAGGTTGTCTTTGCCTACAAGAATATATCCTGAATTTACCTGTTTATTGTTTTGTCTTTCCTTATGCTACACTTTGGGATCTTCCTAATTTCCCTGCCATTTCAATTCAATTCAATTCAATTTTATTTATAAAGCCCAATATCACAAATCACAATTTGCCTCACAGGGCTTTACAGCATACGACATCCCTCTGTCCTTAAGACCCTCACAGCGGATAAGGAAAAACTCCCCAAAAAAAAACCCTTTAACGGGGGAAAAAAAAAACGGTAGAAACCTCAGGAAGAGCAACTGAGGAGGGATCCCTCTTCCAGGACGGACAGACGTGCAATAGATGTCGTACAGAACAGATCAGCATAATAAATTAACAGTAATCCATATGACACAATGAGACAGAGAGAGAGAGAGAGAGAGAGAGAGAGAGAGAGAGAGAGATAGAGATGCAGGTAATGACAGTAGCTTACAACAACATTAATGAAAGTAATAATATTATAGTTATAGTTCTGGCTACTGTGGTACAATATGTTGAAAGTATGTATTAATATCTGACAGTATACTTGTGTGACAATAGTCATATGTGTATAATAACAGTAGAAGTATGACTAATGACTAATGATGGCAGCAGCAGCAGGAGGCATCTGGCAGGACCACGGCAGCAGCACAACCACACACGTCACACTGTCCAGGCACCGCTGCGGTATGAGTTATTCTGAGAGACAGTGGAGCACAAAGGCTCCGGAGAAGAAGCCGAGTTAGTGACATCCAGAATGGCCGAGTTAGCAAGATGCAGTAATAGGATGAGAGTGAGAGAGAGAGAGAGAGAGAGAGAGAGAGAGAGAGAGAGAGAGAGAGAGCCCGGTGTATTATAGGGGGTCCTCCGGCAGACTAGGCCTAAGTCAGCCTAACTAGGGGCTGGTACAGGGCAAGCCTGAGCCAGCCCTAACTATAAGCTTTATCAAAGAGGAAAGTCTTAAGTCTAGTCTTAAATGTGGAGACGGTGTCTGCCTCCCGGACCGTAACAGGAAGATGATTCCACAGGAGAGGAGCCTGATAGCTGAAGGCTCTGGCTCCTGATCTGCTTTTGGAGACTTTAGGGACCACGAGTAACCCTGCGTTCTCAGAGCGCAGTGTTCTGGTGGGATAATATGGCACTATGAGCTCTCTAAGATATGACGGAGCTTGACCATTTAGAGCTTTATAAGTTAACAGTAGGATTTTAAATTCAATTCTGGATTTTACAGGGAGCCAGTGCAGAGAAGCTAAAACAGGAGAAATATGATCTCGTTTCTTAGTTCCTGTTAGTACACGTGCTGCTGCATTCTGAATTAGCTGGAGAGTTTTTAAGGACTTACTAGAGCTACCTGATAATAGAGAGTTACAGTAATCCAGCCTTGAGGTAACAAAAGCGTGGACCAATTTTTCTGCATCTTTTCGGGTCAGGATAGGCCTAATTTTCGCAATATTACGCAGATGAAAAAATGCAGTCCGTGAGGTTTGCTTTAAATGAGAATTAAAAGACAAATCTTGATCAAATATTACTCCGAGGTTTCTTACGGTAGTGCTAGAGGCCAGAGCAATGCCATCTAGAGAAACTATGTCATCAGATAAAGAGTCTCTGAGTTGTTTGGGGCCAAGAACAATAACTTCAGTTTTGTCTGAATTTAACATCAGGAAATTGGTGCTCATCCAATTTTTTATGTCTTTAAGGCAGTTATGGAGTTTAGTTAATTGATTACTTTCTTCTGGCTTCATCGATAAATACAACTGTGTATCATCCGCATAACAATGGAAATTTATAGAGTGATTTCTAATGATGTTACCTAAAGGAAGCATATATAGAGTAAATAGGATTGGTCCGAGCACAGAACCTTGCGGAACTCCAAAACAAACTTTGGTACGTAAGGATCCATTTAAATGGAAGTTTAGACTTCATCATTAAGGAAACAAATGTACAACAGAAAACTGGGCGTACATTCATTTCCACACAAACATTGGCATTATTAAATAATATATAGGCTATATTATTGATGTATGTCGGTACATATCATTGACATGGATCACCTTGAGGCCGGTTGTCCACTGCAACACTGCAGCAGTGATTTCTTTCCATACTACATTTTTCTGACTTCCTTTGCCGTCACTTTTGAGGCTGCCAAATAGAAGCACTTGGTTAAATTTTACCTGGGACATCAGAGTTTCCATTTCTAGCTCAGAGAAGTTTCTCTTCTTGGCTGTATCATATCTGTCCATGTCGTAAACTCTAGGGGCGAGGCCTCCAAACCAATAGTATATTGGTGCAGGATATGTAAATGACGATTGTTTTCAGCTGCCACATCTGTCAACACCTGATCATTCCTATGCTGTGATTGATGAGATAAGAACATTTCATGAATCACACAAGAACCCTGTCGTAAGCTGATTGCTACACTCTGATCTGTGCTGCTTTGTAAGATAGACTGATAAATGAGGGCGTCTGCATTTATTATAAGAGCCATTTGAAATCTTTAATCACGTTTCAGAATAACTGATCATATTGTAAATGCAGCTGAAATGTATGGCACTTTGCATGGCACCGTAAATTATGAACATCTAACATTGTCCTACAAAACATGGCAACAACTCACAAATAAAAGTTAACAAAAAACATTAATTTACTGTGACTCATCTCCATTTAAAAGCACGCTAACTCTCTCATTCAGGAGTAAATGGGCCTGCACTTGTATAGTGCCTTTCTAGTCATCTGACCACTCAAAGCACTTTCACACTACATGTCCCATTCACTCATTCACACAAATTTATACACCAGTGTCAGAGGCTGCCTACAAGGGGTTTCAGTATCCTGCCTAAGAAGACTTCAACATGCGGACAGGTGGAGCCGGAGATCGAACCACTGATCTTCCTATTAGTGGCTAACCTGCTCTACCTCCTGAGCCTGCTGCCCCACCCCCCCACCCCCGGACGGACTAACACTTGATAGTTCTTCCTTGATTCTGTAGTTGGTGGTGGTGCATGGCTATTCTTAGTTGGTGGAGCGATATGTCTGTTGAATTTTAATATCGAGTGCAGCCAAACAGATGTAAAGCATTTTTATCCTGACAGAGTGCGAGTCACTTCTCTGACATTACGGCTCCTACATTGTCCTGCTATAGGGGCTCCGAGTTTGTACTTCCTCTTGATATATTTCATAATCACGTTGAAGGATTTCTGTAGTAGCAGCCATAAAGGGAAGTCTTAAATTGTGGGTTATTTATCAAGATAAATATAGTTCGGAGGAGTTTTGTTTCACACCCCAAATCGCTGTTTGTGGTGCAGCCTTGCAGCGTCCTCAGGGAAAAGTCAATTATGTGCGAAAATCAATACTGTGATAAAGGCATTTTGTATCCACCCCCTTAAGAATTGATTTTATGCAAGAGTGCTTGAATCAGCTGCTTATGATTTATTAGTTGTTAATGTGGTTAGACACTAGTGTACTTGCTAATTGTAAAGTTAATAGTTTCGATGTGCAGCTTAGCCATTATCTTCTTTTTTATGTAGTTCTGTGTTAAAACCCTGTGGTTTTGTGCTTGTTTCCATTGGTGGGTACATTTAGAGACATTAGTTAAATTTTTTTCTGCAAAGACATGCACAGAATACTTTTCTTAAGTCATTATTTTAACCTTGAAAGTCACAGTACCTTGTGAATAAAGCATTGACGCATTACTGAAAGCTTCTATTGTATTTGTTTGCTCTATAAAGAATCCTGAGTTTCTCTCAGTTTTTAGACACATTAAAGGTATTCTCAGTATTTCAAAGACGCATTTGTTTCTCTCACTTTATATCCAGTCTGCGTACTCCTCCACCTCTCCTTCCTATCAATCCTAAACTTTACTTAATCCCTGTATTGAGTTTCCTGCGAGCGCTCCGCTTAAAGAATGGCTGAGGGTGTGTGAAAGTTGGTTTGAAATATGTATCCTAACACACCACATTCGGAGACACTCGGATATGAGCTGTCATGTTCTATCATTCAAAATGTTCCTCAGACAGACCCCTGAGCACACTCAGGGAGATGAAGGAACCTTCCTGGCTCATACATTTTCAGGAGCACTCTGTGTGCACTCTTCTCATATAACTTATTTTTGTTTTTGGAATAAAACAAGATGACCTTTTTATCAGCCTGCGTGTCTGATAAACATTATAAGATTCTGCAGTAAATTGAACGGAAGTATCTGTACATTTTACAGTTGTTTCTTTTTTCTGGGAAACTCTCGCTGCCAAGAAGTTGAGACGTGCACACTAATATTCCACTGTCTGAATATGACAAATCCTGAAATTAATGTGAGTCATGTTAACAGCATATTCTGAAAATGGCCTTGTTCCGAGTGTGGCTCTTTTTCCAGTTAAGACATGTGGGATATGTCGGTATTATTCAGGGTTTAGTTGCATTCTCTAGACATGTATACAGGGAATTCAGAATATGCACCTCAATTGTGGCTTTCGTCGCAGTTTACAACATACAGAATCGTGCCTGTGTATAGTCAGCTCTATGCGTTGTCATGGAAGCATTACAAGCAAACCAACTTGCCAAAAGTTTGCAAGGCTGAGCTACAGATGCACGTCTAAAAGAAAAGCGTACATTTCTGGTTGGAAGGAGAAACCCACTGACTTTTAAACATTATGAAAGACTTGGATATCAACAGGTTCTTGGATATGTGCAGATATCCCAATGTTGACCTTTTCTAGAAGGTGATGAAGAAAGTGGGAGGCTGTGTCCACTCAGTCTGCCACCAGTGAAAAACTTTGAAAGAATCCTGTTAGGGCACGTTATTCAGAGTATGCATGGCTGCATGTAAACAGCAATATAAGTGGAAAATTCCTTTTCATTGGCCTTGTAAACAGCTTAGTAAGAATATTGTCTTTTCAGATAAAGGGCAAAAAAAAGAATATTTTGTGCATGTAAACATAGTCATTGGGTTCCCCATATTTTACATCTGTGTATCTTTTTGTACATCATTTACCATATGTTACAAATCTTCTAGTCTTGCTACAAGCACATCCAAGGAGCGTTAAATCCTGACCGTATGTGTTTCATTTGAACTTAATAACACTGCAGCTAAACGAACTGGAGCTGCTTTGTCACTTGCCTGTATGAAATTGCCTTTATACCCACCAGCGGAGAAAGAAAAGACCATTTGAGCATGAATTATTATCTCAATGACAGTGATTTTCTCTGCCAGAACTAGCCCGTGTAGGTTTGAGGGTAATGAAAATGAGAATCGTGACATTGAGATTACTGTATGCAGGACCAGAATGCTCAACAACATAATGCAAATCTGCTTTTCTCTTATGAATGAGATTACAATATACAGTGATGGAAAAAGATTAAATGTTCACGAGCAGATTTGAACGATTAAGAGAACTTATGGAAAGCAAATCTCGCAGATTCACCGTCTGAAAGTTGCAGCAGTGTGTTGTCAGGCAGATTTAGCAGAATCTCCCACGGCTTGAAGGAATGGCTCTGGAAATCAACATGCTTTTGTCAACTTATCTGTCAAAGCAAATTTGAAAATGGCCCCAGGCATATTTCAAGGCTGCAATTCCTTTAATTAATTGGGGAATTGAGATGTGTGCTGTGCATGAGCATAGGGCCTGCTGTGTGTCAGCTATTGTGCCGTGATAGTTTATGAAAGAAAGACGGAAATGCAAAAACAAAAATGGCTCGCCTCTTCTCCCTGGGTAAGAGATGAAGCTGCTAAGATGTGAAGAGGGCCCACCCTCAGCTGCCAAATTTTACCACACTCATTTAAACCTTGCAGGATTTCTGAACCATGACTGTGGTTCGAAGGCGACTTCATCAGTAGCTGTAGTTAGCAGGTTGTGAAAGAACCACCAGCAAAAATGGTAGTGGCCATTTGCAGTCTGTCAGTTTGCTGAAACAGAAGTCCTCCCCAAGCAAGCCCACTCTGAACTCAGCTGGGATTGACTAATCACTGAATCGGTGCCAAGAACTTTCTGTCACCCTCATTTCCAAGTATTTAATATGGAGATTATGATAATGTATTTTAACCCAGCCAAAGTACCGGGCCAAGTAGATTTACAAATCAAAGCTGCTCTCATCCATGTAACTTCCTTTAAATATTACAGTTTTGTCATTGTCCCATGTCTGTCCTTACTGCTATCATTGAATGGTTGTCAGCTACTGGATCTAATCTTTAGTGAAATGATCTATGAAATGACCCTGTGTGCTGTCAATACTGCCATATTCATAATAATAGGGACAATGTGCCTTTTGTCCACGTAATGTGTGAAAACCTGCTTGCATGATTGGTTCACGCACGTGTCCCAAGGTTTCACCGTTTTCTCTGTCGTACTACAGAACAAGATGTTCATCTACCGTGGGAAGGAGTACGAGCGCAGAGAGGATTTCGAAGCGCGTCTTCTCACGCAGTTTCCCAACGCAGAGAAGATGAAGACGACGACACCACCCAGCGAGGACACAAAGTGCTCCTCTGGACAATGTATCCTCAGCTTGCGTCACTGACTAATTTGTGACAGTATAGCAGAAGATGTAAATTTTGTGTTTTAGTTTTTGTTAGAAGAATTGTTCAAATTTCATCAGTTTGTTGCAAAGCTATATGCAACATTCAGAGCATACTTACAATTCAGAGCATGAACCAGGATTGTTTGCACACGGCTCTCAACATGGAGGTGGATGAGTCCGCGGCAAGCAGTTAACGATGCTAACAGCATGAAGAGTGCTAACATTAACGACAGTGCTGACAGGGTTAACAGGGAGGGGATCAGCAAACTTCCTGTTTTGTTTGTTGCAGCTGGTTTCATCTTAAGTAGGTTTGAAAAACTTTGGACAGCATTAAAATGACAGCGCTGTTGTTCCACAGTAAGAAATAGAGCATTTTATTTTCATACGAATTAATGAATGGTTAAGTTGACTTTCACTGAGCCTGGTATTCTGCTGTTCAGTCTGTACGCTCTGCACTCTGAGAGTGTAGTGCTCTGAATAACCAAACAGTATAACTATTCCAACAGCGCTTCTTATGATTGGTCCAGCTCCAAAAATAGAAAGTCAATATGTGTCAGCAAATACTGATTTCGTTGGCAGACCGCCACAAAAAAGTGAATGTGTAGGAAACCCTGGACTAAAGACCTTTGTGCACTGAGTCCGTTTTTTGTCCAAAATCTTGCACATTTAAAACATTGTGTCAATCATGTTTACACACTGAGTCTGAAACTTTTGTCTGTCATTAAAATTTTCCAAACAGGTTCAATTTTCTGAGAGTTTGCACTTAGAAGAAGGCACAGCCGGTCCGGCTACCAAAACAAAGAACCGAGAAGCTCGTATTACAACGCACAGAGAGGGAGTATGACTTCATATTTTACTCAGGACGCCATGATATTATATATATATATTTTTTAATATATATTTTTTATTATATTATATCGTCACATAGCAAATAGGTGTTTGCTGCTATATTAATGCTCTGAATGTTGTATCCAGCTCCTTAAAGTAAGTGTCTGTAAGTGCCTTTGTACTGTTATGTGTTACAGACAACATGCTTCACGTGTATAAATATACATAATACATATGTTTACAAGATGGATTGTATTGAATGTCTGTTAACAATAATACTGAATTATCACCAGGTCCTAATGAATTATATTTCAGTCATTTGAATTCAACAGTTTCATTTATTTCCTTGACGTTTCTGCTGAAGACATCCAGTGTTTCACAGTTAAACCCATCCTCGACCTGCCTGCCAAGTTCCAAAACAAACCCGTCTCTGAGCAAATATTGAGGTAAGCAGGATATCCCCGCTCCGCACACATTCATTCTTTACAATTACAGAGTGTGTTACTCAAAGTCACACACCATGCATTTCAATCCAGCGAGCCCAATTTACTTCCCCAGTCACTCAAAAACAATTTAGAGACCTTGTGATGACATGCAAAAGTGCATTAGCATTTTTTTAAAGTGCTGTATCGAGGGCGACTGTGGTGAGAGCGATTAAATCTTGATGTAAATGTGTGTCTGCGTACAACCAATAGCGGCTGACCTTCTTGTCGTTCTCGTGGTTATTAACTCGCACCAGCCATCTGCTATTAGTCACTGTGCCAAGTACAACATTGTTTCTCTGACATCATTAATACCTTTGTGTCGCGCACCGGGGCCACAGCAAACAGCGGGCCCCCTACACTCCCACTTGTTTGCCCAATCTGTACGCCAGCCATGCACTGCATCAGTCAGCTGTGCAAATTCACTTTGATATGCCACCCAACGCATCAATGGACATAATTAAAAGAAGACATTTACTTGGAAAACCTTTAGGCAAATATACCTGCGCACTGATCTTATCACACGCCTGCACCATTGGTCACATCCCCCTGCAGCAGCCTGTTGGCTTGTTTGCTAACTGTGTCTGATTGGAATATGTAACTCTGTTAATAGCCTAGATTAGACAGGCGTGTTTAGAGAGTGATAGAGGACTGTTCCACACCGACTGTCTGTCCGTCTCTCCCTCTCTGCCAACTCTGTTGCTCTGCTCTCATCGTGCTTTTCCCCGGTTGTCTCTCGCCGTCGCTATCTCCCTGTTTTCTCTCATTTATTCTCTCATTCAGTGCAAAAGAACAGCAGTGCATAGCAATGAGACTGAGCTGTTTGAGCCAAAGGGTCACAGCAGCACGCAGAGCACACCCCCTCCTGACCTTGCTTTGTCCACACCATGCCACTGCATCATCACCAGCCCGCCAGCTAATGACATGTAAAAGGCCTAATTGGGGTAGCGCCGCTGATTTAAAGTGGCTTTATTAATCTGTTTATTAGATCAGAGCCTCAGACGCTCTCTCTCTCTCTCTTTTTTTTTTTTAGGTTAACACTGTGCTTTCTCTGCTAATTTGGGAACGGTTCTCATCATGTTCATTAAATAGTGTGCTGCCCTTTGTGACCAGGCACAGAAAGGGAACAGCTGATTGTCGGTAGAATATAAATTGCTCAAGTTCCAGTTAAGGCACAGACACACCAAAGTTAGATCAAAGAACTAGTGTCAACGAAGGCTGACTGTTGCGTCGCCTCACGTTGCCTGTGTCTGTTTCACTGAACACACCGCACAGACTACAACCAATGGCTAACTAGCATGTACACCTGCATGAGAGGAAATAACTCTTCATAACTGCAGGCAGCAGTATTCTGTATTTGTCATTCAAAACGGAAAACCGGACGACCGACGGGATTGATTCAAGACATTAATTAGCCAGTTAGCACATTAAAGGGATATTTTAGATTACTTGAAATGAGGTTGTATGAGGTACTTATCCATTGACGGTATATTAAATTCAGTAGATGTCAGTTGGCAAGCCCGCAGTTTGGAGAAGCAGGCTGAAGTCTGACATGGAAGCTGAGCAATCTACTGCTGTGGAGGGTTCAGCCACTGAAAAAAAGTCCCACCTAAAAAACTCAATATCACTTTAAATGCACGCTATATTTATAATATTTTCACTGCTTAACCCTAATGTCAGACAGTGATTTCCAAGGGAAAATTAAGCCTTTATATTGCTCTCTTCAAAGCCAGACTCCATTGAAAAAAACAGTGATTTAACATCACTGAACACAGGAGCTGCTGGTCTGTTGCTGCCTTTAACAGTTATTTTGTTTGTGTTAATATGTGACTTTGGCTTTAAAGTTCATTTCACACAATAACACAAAATTACTATCTGATCAAAGCAGGCGGAGACCAGCAGCTCCTGTGTTCAGCAAGCTAAAATTATTGTTTTTGTCAGTGGAGTCTGGTGGCTTTGATGAGCGCATAGACAGAGAACTGAGGCCTTTAATGGCTTCCCCGTGGAAATAGGCTGTCTGACAGAAAGGTAAAGTGAAAACACTCAACATATCATACACTTAAACTGATGTGGATTTTGTTAAGTAGGACTCATTTTAGGTGGCTAAAATACATTTTGTTGCTGACCCCTATCCACAGCGGTACATTGCATAGCTTCTGTGACGGTCGTCAGCCTGCTTCTCCAAACTGGGGGCACTCCATCTGACATGTATTGTAGTACCCCATATAATCTCACCTCAAAGAATCCAATCTATCCCTTTAACAACACAACCTTGTGTTGGAAGAACAAATGATATTTACCCTGTGCTCACAAACAATAGCACAGACAGTCCAAAGTGTTTCTGCTAAAGAGCTCACTGGCTAAAAAACTTAATCTTACCTTATATAACAAGTTTGTTTTGATCTCACTCTCTCTTGACTTGAGCCACTTGTTTGCTTTCCTTACTTCCGTTCCTCTTCTTGTAACTGATTTGAACTACCAGTCAGTGATTTCATTCAAAGACGGGCTCTGCCTCCTCTAATGCCGATTCAACATGCTGAATCGGTCGGAAAAAAGCAGACAAGGGACAACTAGTGCCAATGGTGCAGGGCACACTGCCAAAACAAGGGCAACAGATGCTCGTCGACGGCCGAGCAATGACCAACAGCCATCCGTCAGCTTGGTGTTTCAGGGCCCTAGGACCTGAGTCGGATTGCTCTGTGGAGTTTGAAAGCTCTGTGTGGTCTGTTCATTAGCAAAACATAAACAGTCGTTAGAAAAAAAAAAAAAAAAAAAGGTCAAAAGTTGTAGCATCCCATCTGTACACGCTTATTGCTGCTGCTACAAACATAAAAGGGCAGCGGCTTTGGAACGGCACTGATTTCCTTTCATATTTTATTCATAATTGTTTACTAATAAAGGCAGAGCATGCTCTTAGAAACATATGGCATTGTTTTAGGAATGCAGTATGCTTTATGAGGATAGTATATCTGCACTCTTTTCCCTAGGAGAGTGTAAATTTCTGTTGGTGAGAGAGACAGATAGAAAGATGGAAAAAGAGCCGTCTATGTGAGGGACCATATATGTGCCCAGACAGCTGCTCCCACAGCCACCATACAACACATTTTCCTAGTGTGAAAAGTCTATTAACCTGATTTGGCAAAGTTCATCCCCCTAGTCACGTATGCTGCAGTTTCTCTACATGTCGGACTAACGTCAGCGGCTGCCAGTGACGTGTGCGACCCAAAAATGAATTTATTTACCATGTAGATGAAGCCTTTTTAGACAGCCTGTCAAAACCAACATGATACATGTAAATGCCACAGCTCCTGGCAGAGGCTAGCCTGGAGGGGGGCCTGTCCTGTGTTTGACCTGAAGCAAAGCAATCAACCTTTGAATCAAGCCGTAGATTGCCCATAACAGTTTTAATTTACTGAGGCGCTGATTTTCTCCCTCCCCAGCTTCTACACGGTAAATGAAGTCCATAAATTCCAGTATTCCAGGCCAGTGAGGAAAGGAGAGAAGGACCCTGACAATGAGTTTGCGGTAATTGCTGTCTTCTTTTTTCTTTTCACTATGACTTAACTTGTCCATTTCATTTTTTTCTGATGTTTTATGAATTATTTGTTGACATTAGAGTCACCATGAGTATAATTTTTATGTTTTTTTTTTCAATGAAAAAAAAAAAAAAGATTAAACCAGTTTGAATTTCTAAAAAAGTTGTAGCATCCCATCGCAAAAGCAGCTCAGGAATGACATGAGGAACATGACAAAGAGCTGAAGGGGTCAACCTGGCACCCAAATTCCCCAGATTTCAGCTGGATTGAGCATTAGTGGGATGTGCCAGTACCCCATCTTCGCCCTGGTGCCAAACACCACAGGGCACACCCAGAGGTTCTAGTTTCATGCCTCGACAGGTCACAGACCCCACCATAGATCAGACTTAACTCAGACCTGTCGAGGCATGGACACAGGTCCTCTTGGCCGCCAGCATGTCCCTTGGATGCTCGATCAGACTGGGATCTGGGGCCTTGTGGCATGAAGTACTGTCCTGCTGTGGAGCCCACTGTCATCAGGGAGAGCTGTTGCTATGAGGGAGTGTACTTCTTCAACAACGCTGTTTGGATGGGTTGTGTGTGTCACATGGCATCCACTTGAATGCCAGGACTCAGGGTTTCCCAGCAGAACACTGCATCATAATCACCTGTCAGTGATTTTAATGTTGCGGCTGATCCTTTATTGCCAGCGTTAACAAAAACTTGCAGAGTTTTAATCATTTATGGTTTGAGTGATAATGATCCTGCGTATTTATATTCCAGATTTTATTTTTTTACAAATGATGCCTAGCATAGGTAAACAGATATTACATAACATGGATTTTTTCTGTCTCAGAGATTTCTTGTTTGTCTCACACTCACAGATGAATCCTAGACACATACACACACACACACATTGTTAAATATACAACAGATTTCACCTGGAACAAGTGACTCAGCTCTGCTAACAGGGCAAAAAATTGCACATCTGCAACATCATGTACTTTGGTGGGTGAGTTACAACAGGCAGAAAAATGATCTCCAAGCCTGATCAAACAGTTTGTCAGTCTGTTCTGATGCTGAGATGCAGCAAACGAAGGGCTTTTCCTTTTTGTCTGTTCTGATCAGGTTTTCTTTGTCGAGCTATCGCTTCTGCTGTTTTCTCAATTTATTATGGGATGCTGCTGTAATATTGCCTGAGATATATGTTTGAGGTTTCCACAGTTTTTATCCAGCAGAATACATCAATAGGAAAGCAGAACTCTCATTAAACACAGGAAAAAATGGTTGCCAACAAGAAGATCCGGAATAAATAAAATTATTGACAGTGATCCAAATCTGGTTGCCTACTGCAACTATTACTGTCGAGTCCTGATTTTTACTACGTCTTATGAGTTACACTTCGTGCACGCTTAATTATATCCAGGTTGCAAATGACAAGGGCGACAAATTAAACCCATTCACGCTCTCCTCTGTTTATTGTGGCATCAATTCAGCTGAGCGGGATGATGTATTTAACTCATCTCAGACTGACTGATAGGACTCTCTCCGTCCTGACAGTAAGGTGATGGGTACCTATTGCTAGACATATTGCAACTGTCAAACCTGTTAACTACATGAGTAAGTATGCTAAAGCTGACTCACTTTATTTAATTGTTCAAACTGAGGTGTTGTTTTTCCTCGCACATGCTAATAAAAAATATTCAAAGGGGACCTATTAGGCTGCTTTTTTTTGGTTATATATACAGTATAATGTAAAACATAATGTAAAAGTAATCCCTGTCAGCAAAAACCTCAGGCTTCAAACCGTTCTGAATACTCTGTTTTCAGTGTTATTTTTTCCTTAAAGACAAGCCGATGTTAGCTGGTGACAGACTTCCTTATATGGTCAGCTACTCCAGGCACACCTGCTGCAAGTGTTTACATTATGTAGCCTACACTGCTACATGTGGCTACATGCTAAAGTCATGGAAACATGTAATCTTGGTTGCAGACGTTGTTGATTTCTCCCCGATTTAAGTTCATAGTCCTGCTGGCACGTGTCTGGTTGCAAAGATTTTGGTTTAGAAGCTTTTATTCAGTCCCTCTAAGATTTCGCAATGTTGCGATCACAACAATCTTATGCAAATTTTGCCAGTATCTGTTAGTTCTGTGCAACCTTACAATTTTGTCCAGTCACCGCAACTTCGGTGGCGATCAACTGTTGCTGTCCCCCGTCACAAATAGATTATATTTCTGTGGGAAACACTGAATACTTTTAATAGTAAGATCCAAATCTGAGATAGCAGCACAGCTATTTTTTGCAGTTTTCACTTTCCCCTGCAACTTCATTGCAAAAACAAATTGATTAAGTCATATAAAAATGGCCATAAACATTGCAACATGCATCGAAATGTTTTAGAAAAGCTGATGTTAGGCATTTCAGGCTGCTATAATCCCAAAAGCAGCCAGCGAAATTGCAGAGGGACTTTTTATTGGTGATTTTATTGGCTATTTTCCGTTACAGTTGTTATACGTGCTGCAGTAGAGTGGTGCAGGAATGAGTCCTACAACCTGGAATGAGTTAGCATCTTAGCACTTTGATGTTTTTTTTTTTTTTAGATAGATGCCTGAGATAAGGTTTGTAGTTAACACAAGCTTAAGAGACATTTGCATTTTGTTCTACAACATAAAAATACCTCACTTGTAAATTCTGAAGCTTTTATGTGTCTTTAAAAAGGAGGCTAGCAACAAGCTAAATAAGACTACAAAATGTCATCACACTAAACACAGCTGTTCAGGTTTGTTGTGGTGGTGACAATGAAGTCATACGACTGTAGTGGAGTTCTTTTTGTAGTGTAATGTTAGCTTTTTGCTTCTGGCAATTGCACTTCCGCTTTAAAAATCCTAAAAAGGCTCACCCACTAGCTCCCCCGGTAGAGCAGGCACCCCATGCACAAAGGCTATATCTTTGCCACAGTGGCTGCAGTTTTGATTCCAGCTCTGGCCCCTTGCTGCATGTCATCCCCCCTCTCTGTCCCCATTTCAGGCAGATTTTCCCATCTAATAAAGGCAAAAATGCCCCAAAAAATCATAAAAATCCCATCAGCTTTATGTTGAGGGAGCCAGGGCAAGGCTAACTTCCTGTTGACCTACAAAAAAGAAATGTCATCCCCTGCAGCACTCTGTAACAGAGACCCCGAGATACAGAAGACCTGGAAACACTGACCAATCAGAGCAGACTGGGCTTTTTTGGAAGGGGGCCTTAAAGAGACAGGCACTAAAACAGAGTGATTCAGGTAGAGGGTGAATTCAGGTGTTCCAGCACAGACAGCATGATGAAAATAGTTAAATAAATGTTTTTAACTATTAAAGCATGTTAGCATGTTCTAGTAGAAACCTAGAATACAAGTATGAGCCTGAAAATAAGCACAATAGATCCTCTGTGAATGCTGAAACCCTCTGCAAGGGAAGCCGTCGTCTCTTGTGGTGTATGTTTTTGTTCTCAAGATTTAGAGTCATTATTTGAGCTCCATGATGTATTAGAGGAGATTCCATCTTATTTGGGCTGTCAGTGAGCGGGCCTTAATGAGCTGCCATCCAGACAGGGAGGTAGCACACACCTCCATCCCACCAGCTCCCCCCTACAATGGGCTTTGATTGAACAGCCATTACATCATGTTACTCTCATTCATGCTACGACAGTCTAAGAGCTTGTTTCAATGTGGTTTGGCACAAAATCGGCAGCAAATTGATGTCTAAAGTGCCTGTCGTGCCTTCTGCGCCAAGTTCTGATTTTGTGTCTCTGTCATTTCTTGTCAACAGAACATGTGGATTGAGAGGACCACGTACACGACAGCATACAAGCTTCCTGGCATCCTGCGCTGGTTTGAAGTCAAGTCAGTCTCCACAGTGAGTATGAAGGGCCTGTGTGCCAGGCAGGCCTCCTAATCAGATGAGGATCTGCAGCCTTGCTCAGAGGCAATCGATATGATTTGTCCACTTAAGCTGTATAGACAGCCGTGTGGACGCAGGCATGCCACTCCCCGGACTAACGACGGGGCACGTTCACTCTCTGCCAGAGGGCCCACATTGATTCGCCTAGCACTCCTCGAAGACTGTTCCCACTGAAAATAGCTGCACAGCACAAATACAAGTGGAGGAGAGTTCAGAGCTCAGTCAGTCACTGTTTACTTTCCTGTAATAGAAATACCTGGATTGCTGTACTTAAAACCGGTTGATGAGAGGACGGTGTAACAGCTGCAACAAATGACTTTTAAGTGTTTACTGTAGCACTTGGAATGGGCACATTTCCCCTCCATCCCACTGAAACTGCATTAAAATTTCATTATTTTAGCTCTGTTGTTTTGACTAATTAAAAATGCTGGTCTGGTGTCCCCATTCTGAGCCGGGATGCTGTCTGGTGGAAGAGGGAGTGTGGAGAAATAAGTGCAGTAAAATAAGTTGGGAGCACAAGAGCAGGTTACACTATCACTTAGAGCCAAAACATCCGGCCTCGTCCTTTTAATGTGTCTTTAGTTTGTCCCAAAACAAATGCGCTACTTAGCGTAATTAGCCCGGCAAAGTATTATGCAATCAATTACTCTTTGTCGCCTTGATTAGTCACTTTCATGTCTGTGCTGGTGAGGGCTCTATAAAAGGGGCACTTCTGAGAGTCTATCCTTAGCTAAGGTGTTGCCTACAGTCTGCTCACTCAGTATATAGTGCATGAAATTTATTTTTCAAAATGGGGGGAAATTCCCTCTTAAGTTTTTCACATAGTTATACACTTTTGGGTGAGGCTCAACTATGCTTACTATGACCTCGTCCTATTCGTACATCAGATTGTATTTGGTCACTCTGGTGTTGTTCCAGTGACATCACACATCAGTGGGGCCTTCGTTAAGGCCAATACTTACCCCGACTTTTTGTACTAAACAGAAAAATACAAACGGGCACCAATCAAAGTTTCTCTTTTTCACCGAAGTAAGACTAACTTTGGCTTATTTGCCTCGTCAACTGCTTGTATCTAAAACAGTCTTAGTCAGTCTTGTTAGTCATCTAGCCAGTTAGTCCACTGTTCCAAAATCACCAATAAATCTAAATTGTCCAACTTAGATGTAAAAATCTGCTCAACTGCACACTGTTTATCCCTGCAATATCCCTCTGTGTCTCAGCTGTATGTTGAGCAGCGTCTCTCACTGGTGTTTCGGAAGCAGCCACAGTTAAGTGACATCATGTTTCAACAAACATAAAATTAATAGCAACAAAAGAAACTACATAATACAATATTTTACAAGTTTAAAAGTAACAGTTGGTTGTTAAAACCTCAAAAAAACCTCATCACAGTGAGTTAACAACTTGCTGCAAGTTTGTTTGTTTGTTTGTTAATACGAATGTCTTTACCACAGTTAGCCCATTAAAACAGCGGCAGTGGCAACAGTACACATAAAAATGGCTGCCACCCTGACCATCCTGCTGTGTCGATTAGAAAGGGAATGTTTGTTCTACTCTCATTTTATTTTTATATTCTGTTCTTCCCTTTTCCCAGCTGTATGAGGTGACTAAAAGTGGACATTGCAACAAGCTGAACAGCGTCAGAGAAACACTGATTTATAACATGAAACTGCTTTATACAGTGTTTTTACTGGTTTAACCCTTCGAAACCTGCAACGACATCACTCCAAACACCTTTTGCAAGTATTTTTTTGATACCTGAACTAATTGGTTTGATTTCTTTTAAAAGATAAGGGACTTTTTTGGCAAGAAATTTCCTGCAAATAATAGGTGAAGAAAAAGAAATTAGCCGAGAGAGAGAATTATTAGAAAATTATAACAACAAAAAAAACCAAGGGGAAAATGTACAGAAAATTCAATGTATAATTATGATAATATTTATAATTATACATTTAAAATTAGGTTATAGCAAAAAATGTATATTCTGTATGTTTATTGTTATTATTTTTATTTTATTTTAGCCCCTTTTTTAGGTCATTTTTAGTTTTTCTTTTTTTTTCCTTTTTTTGTTTTTGTCCTAATTTTCACTTTTTTGGAACTTTTTTACTGGTATCATGCTCATATTTGGGTCATTTCTTGTTTTTAAAGAAATCAGTCAACTCAGGTTTTAGAGGGTTAAATCACCTGGTCTGTTTAATTTGAAGAGGAAGAGACCTCTGTGGATAATTTGTCTCCTGGTAAAAATGTGCTGAACAATGAACACTAAAGGAATCCTTACCTGGAGAAGTTTCCACTGGTTGCAACCTGCACCCCTCACTAGTAGATGCCACTAAATCCTCCACACTGCTCCTTTAAATGTGTGCAGGAATACCCCTATTACAAGTGCCAAATTTGCAGGAATTGATGAAATTATGCACAGTACCCCCAATCCTGCACTGAAATCCAGGCCCTGACCTCTTTTTCATAGCCTAGCACTACATGACAGCCACACACCAGGCATCTTGGACATTCAGCTCACCACAATAATCCTTCTAGTTGCTACATCCTCAGCACAATCATTTCAATCTAAAGATCTGATCCCGCCCTAACTCCCTAGTCCATGTAGCGAAGTGCTATTCTCCGTTGCCACACTAACTCAAAGCAGAGGCCTTTTCCTTCAGGCTGGGTTGGAACATACTGTCAGGAGCAGCTTGCCCTCCAGATGAGCCAGGGAGAGGCCAGGTCCCTGAGGTTAGACTCTCTATTTAAAGCTTAATGACTGGGCTGAGATTCACCAAGCTAAAACCCTCCATCTGACAATGCTTTTTATCAAGCTGGACTGAGACATACCGGCACAGATTGGAGATTTGTCTCCCTGGCACAACATCTTTATTTTTTTTGGCTGAGGTCTAAGTCTGACATTTACTCAACAATCCACTCATGTTTCCTCTAAATTCTTACTAGCAAGCTGCAAGGAGGTGATTTTTTTTCCCCCCCATCCAAAGTAATGAGTTTGCTTCCACGTGGAGTTACACGGATTGAGTTGGAATTTTCTTTCACACAATAGTGGAATTAATGTCAGCATTTCCAAGTATTTTATTCATTTTTCTCAGACTTATATTTTGTTGACATGGGAACTGAAATTCCCTTACACCAACGTGCTATCCATCTTCATTTGACAGTTGCAGGTTCATGTATGGGCGCATAGGAAAATGATTCATTGCTTCTCTATCCTCCATGATTTATGTGCATAGTTAAGGGTTTCTAAGCCCATCCTCTAATAAACTATCCCTAGTCAGTGAACGCAAAATGTTTCTGCTCTACTGTTGGGATTACAGAGACAGTAGTGATGTATGTGTGTGTATGCACTGAAAGAGGTGTATAAACGCTGAGGAGAGTTGATAACACTTTCACTTAACTTCACAGGAGGAGATCAGTCCACTGGAGAACGCCCTGGAGACGATGCAGCTGACCAATGAGAAGATCAGCAGCATGGTGCAGAGGCATCTCAACGATCCTAACCTTCCAATCAACCCCCTCTCCATGTTGCTGAATGGGATTGTGGACCCAGCAGTCATGGGAGGTTTTACCAACTATGAGAAGGTAGAAAACATGAAAAAGTTCTGGATTTATTTCATCCCGTTATTGTCTCAACCTGTACACCTGTATGTCCACATTTTGAGCATTGTGTTAGTTCAGGCAGGACACGATGGCAAGCTCATCTCACTGCTGCTGCTTTCCCTGCCTTAGGCTTTGCTTGTAGGCGCATGGAAGGGCAGGGAGTTTGCTCTCTCTGCCTCAGGCTTTCCTTGTTTGCACATGGAGGGGCAGACAGGTGTGCTCTCTCTGCCTTAAGTCTATCCAAGCAGGCACGTATGAGTGACTTTCTGCAAAGGCCCAAGGAAAGGCAGAGAGGCCCCAGAACAGAGCCATACCGCCAAATATAATACTGCAAATGGAAATAAGGTTTTCTTTGACTAAATGTTCTTGACTGAACTCCATTTTTAGCGTCACTCTACTTTAAGAGAAGGAATAATTTGACATTTTGGGAAATTTGCTTTTTTTGTTTGAGTTGATGAGGAGATCAGTACCACTAAATATGAAGCTAAAGCCAGAAGATGGTTAGCTTCGCATAAAGACTGAAAGCAGGGGGAAGCTAGCTAGCCTGCTCCTCTCTTAAGCTAACAAAATCCACCTATCAGCACCTCTAAAGCTCATTACCTACCTCATGTAACATCCTTGTCGTCACAGTGAGGTTGCCAGGAGATCAGGAGACTTCAGAGACTTCAAAGACGTCGTCTGGCACATAAACCCTGTAACACATGAGTAGTTGTTTTTGTGCACTTCAGCGGTTGTAAAGAAATGACAAAAAAAACGTGATAATTAGTGAGCTTTAGGGCACAATCCTTCACAAGTATGATTTACAAGACCTGCTCTCAAACCTGAACTGTGGCTTGTAATACTGCACCCACCACCTGCACATATGACCAATTAGTTCAGCGCTCGACCTACCAACACAAGATATGTGACCTGACACGTAACAGCAAATCTTCAATAACCATGCACTGTTCAAATAATTTAGTGAGGCAGCACATTTAAAGTGATCATTTTGGGACATTTTATACATGTGAAACTAAAATAGGTGAATATATTTTAAAACTTTAGCAAGTAAAGAAACCAGAACTGAACCCAGTAATAAAATGAAGATAAATTACAACCCACAAATCACCTTTTTTGCGGGTCTACCACCCACAGCTATCCAACCCGATGCAGGACTCTGCTTTAGAAGTACTGATAGGCAGATGTTGTTTCCTTTCGACAGAGCCTGGCCTTGCTGTTTCCCTCTGTTTCAGTCATGCATCATATATGTACTTCTGCGAAAAAGCTTGTGCAGAGCTGTGACTATGTGCCAGGCACTGCAGATGCCGTTGAAGTTTGACAGCACATCAGAGCCAGTAGGTGAGATTTTGCGGACAAGTACCTCACATTCATTACAGCAACAGCAATTAGCATGGACCAGTTTGAAGAAAAGCTAGCGGAGCAACTCAGAAGATGTCAACAGTCTACTTGTAAATGGAAGCCTCTGAGGGACATTTTAGCAAAAATAATCAGCTCCTGGCTTCTTCCCTTTTGTCAAGCATAGGAAAACGGAGGGCAATTATGGAGCTACAGTGGACATTAGTTGTGCAAACTTTAATAGCAAGTCCCAACATGCATGTGTGAAATTACATGCTACGCGCACTCTGCTGCAGTAGTGGCACGTCAGTCCCCTAATTTCACACTCAAAACGAAGTGAAGAAGCTTATTTCTCATAATGTCCAACACAAGATCTTCTGACACATTTTTATATTCCTGAAAATATCTGTAAATTTCTAATACTAATTTAATTCAATCTACATTCAAAGCAAGTTCAGATAAGCCCTTGTTTTCATGCTGTGAAATGAAATCATAATATCGTGCATATTTTAGATCCTGGAAGCTCTAATTTCATCAGCCTTAACATTATTATCACTACACTTGTGACCAGTCTCTCACACATCATTTGCCTCTCAACATCACAGAGCATCATAAATCCGTTTTTGTTTGATGTGACCTGAGCCTTTTTTTACTTTCAAAACTCAATCTTCCCTGCACGCTGTTTTTTTTTTTAGCACATTTCTAGTGTTCTCACTGTTTTGTTTTGTTTCTTTAGCGGCACACTCCATTCACTGTAACACAGTAGCGACTCATGTGGAAAGAGAAACTCTTCTGAAATAGTGTTTGATCATAAAAAAAGTGATAGCCTGCTGGTTTCCCAGCATATATCACAACCTGGAATAGATTCATATTGGTCTCGTGAAACGGTGCAGTATGAGTCAGAGGAGGAACGATGTGAATTCTTTGCCCTCAGGTCACTCCTTCGTCTCGGTAAAATAGTGCGGGTGGTGGAGGAGAGACGGATGTCTCGAGTGTATTTTTTCTCATCTTAACAGCTCCTCCCGATGCTTCCCCCCTTTGAATGTCTTTTTTTCTCCCTCGTTTCTCATTTTATTTATATTACAAACTTCTTCACATTTCAGATTGTTCCCTCCGTCTTACTCTGTAGTTACCCCTCCTTTTCCTCCCTTCATACAAACAGACTTACTCTAGTATTCTCTCTCTCTCCTACAGGCCTTCTTCAATGATAAGTACATGCAGGAACACCCAGAGGACCTTGAGAAGATAGAGAAACTGAAGGACTTGATCGCCTGGCAGGTAAGACTGAAGCTCCTACACCTGCAGCTATGTGGAGTGCATATGATCTTGGTGAAGCATCGCACCGTAGTTCATAAAGCATCAGTCTGTGTCGCCAAACATATCAGGGTTCAAGAAAAAGTGTCATGGCCTGCTCGTCACAAATTACACGCTTGTTTACTTTAAAAGATGACGTTTTTCATCATATTACATGGTATTTCTTTTTCCATGGCGCACAGAAAGAGCAGAGGAATAAATAGCCTACAGGGAGCCAAAATACTGAGTGTGATAAGATGGTATGGGGGAGCATGAGATGCATGAAAATTTGAATTCATGCCACTTGGCCTTTCAGCATGAGTGGGCTTTCCTAATTTGCATGGATTTCGTTTGGGCTATTCACTTAGCCTTTCAGGTGCTGAAAAGATAGTGGCCTTATATGCAAGTTGCTGTGGTTTAAGTTATTAAGGTTAATTAGTGGAATCAAAAGTAGAAATTTGGGAGCCATGGGAGCTCCACCCCAGCAAGGGCCCTATAGACACCGGGCAGTGTGTTTTGACACCTGAAAGTCTTTCACACACAGCGTAGAGTGTGTATGCTGAAGGATACGTGTTTGGTTCTGTATATTATGGCATTTATATCTGAAATGTTGTCCCCTTACTGAAACGCTGCTGCTGCAAAATGAGAAGGAAAGGTTACAGCTGAAAATATAATATCGTTTGAAGAACTTGTGAGTGCACTGCCAAGAGTGTCCAATGACGGTAACTGAAGTGAGCAGGGGGAAAAGTGTGTTAAAGAGTTCAGTGGAGATAATAGCGAGGGAGAGTGCTGAAGCAAACATTCTGGAGTTAAGGAGGACACTCCACTGCGTGAAGAGACAGAGAGAGATCAGCACTGGCGGTTTTGCGAGCTCTGCACCCTCGCTCAGCCCGGAGGAAGTGCACACACAGCAGACATGAAAATGCTCATACACACATATTGCTGGAGTACGTCGCAACACGTGCTTTTTAACAGCTTACTATGAAACTCTGCAGATCTTTAGCTCATTTGTGGCTCATCTTTGATTAATAAACTCCCAGCTTGTCATTGCTTTCTAGTAGAATAACAAAACCGCTCTTAGAAAGCTGCACTGTTGGTTTTCTGTTTTGTTTTGCTCTTTTTATTACTCTCTCTTAACTCTTTAGCTCTGAACTAGGGGTCACTTTAATAATCAGGAAGTCTTTGTTTCCTGCCTTATGGTTCACCCAGGAATTGAGCACAGATACAAGAAGTTTCTCTGTCTGCTTCCTATCGCTAGTTGCAAGGAAAAAGGAAGTTAATTGAATTTGCAGTAGTTGTTCCCCTCTCCGTTGTTGTAAAATAGGTCAACTTTGTGCTCTGCATCTCTGGCGGAACTCCTCCGAATCTGAAAAGTTCTTTTGTGTTTGTGAAACCTTTTGTCTTTGCAAGGCACCATGATTCACACAGGAATATATTGGCTTCTCATTTGATGTCATGTTTATTCCTCATTAGAAGTAAAACTGTGTTTTAAAATTACTATTATCCATATTAGACGTTAATCTAGTGTTTCCATATTCATTTTTTGAAGACATTCAGAGGATATGTAGGGTATCACTGACTGAAGCAGAAGTTGACAAAGCAGGTGAGGGCAGCCTAAAAATAAACTACTTCATCACTCCTGGAAAGATGTGAATATCACAAATGCATTATATCTGACAAGGTTGGAGTATGCAACCAGATTTTACCTTTAAGACCTATCAGTTATTTTTATATCCATCTTGAAGCAAAGGCTGAACAATAATGTCTGTAAGACTATGTTTATTCCAAAGCTTTGTGTAGGTTCCAATGTGATACTAAAATGTGAAAGATAACCATTTCCGCATCAATTTGAGATTTCAGCCTGACTAGAATAGTGTTGGAAATCAAACTGCAATTTTGAAATGATCCTCCACCCACAATCCACAGTACTAATTAGCAGGAGCTCAGTTGTGCACCCAGTCACACCAGTATGAGATAAACGCATTGCAAGATCTTGGCAGCTGGTTAAAAAAAAACGTCCCTTACATCAAGCTAACCAAGTGTTTGAAATCACGGTGGTATGTATCTTCCATGAGCACAAACAGACACGATTGAAGTCGTTTGGTGTGATCATCACAGAGACATGTCATAGAGAAAGCAGAAATACGTTTGTTGAGCCCACGCCAAACATACACACAAGGAACCCTTTTTAAAGAGATGACTAAGGCAGAGTTGTTGATATGAAATGGTATCAGCTGTCTCCTTGCCAGAGACAGCATGCTTGTTTATCTCGCGTCTTGAATCTGTCTAAATGAGACAAATGAAGGCGAGCCTGCTCCAATGAACAAACTAAACGTTTCGAAATGAGCCAGCATGCACTGTTATTCTGAAATACCCATTGTCCTCGTCTAGTAATTAGAGAGGAAATGAGCAAGTGGAAATCAGGAAATTAGGTATTGTAGAAAGCTCCCTGGCAAATACAAAGTAGGTGTTTTTGTGTGATGTTTCTGGTTATAATTGGCAAACGCTCTAGACAGATGCCTAAATTAGCAGCTTTAACTTCTCACTGCACCATGATCCATTCTATTTTAAAGTTGTTAAGGGTAGCTGGGTGATCAATAAATTGAATCAAAGACCCAAGAAGGCAGTTTTCACAAGAGAACCATCAACATAAACAGAATATTTAGCCCCCTTTCCCACTGGACAAAACACCCACTAACATCTGGCTCTTTTCATTTAGTGGGAAAAGTTACAATTGGCATTCAAATGACTGCAGTCATCACCAGTGTTTATCAACTCCAGCTCCAGTCAGCAGCAATGTAAACACTGTATCTGGGTGGACACAGTAATTGATGCCCCTTCTCAAGCATGACCGTCACTTACTTCTGGAACTTCTGCAACTCTGAACCTGAAATTCCACCCGAGCAGCGCACAAACAATCATTGTAAAATAGTCGGCACCAATTTTTAAGGAGAGACGAAATAAGTACCGTGCTGCTCTCTATTGTTTACGAAGGACTGGAACGCATATGGTCTTCTACTTCTCGGAAAACGAGAGGTCGGGCACTGGTTGCTACTCCAACATTCAAGAGCGTAGAGGAAGGTCGCCCATGATATCACAAAACAACCAAAACCAGCACTGTATCATTAGTTGTTTTTACGCGGCGATCGCACTATAGGGACGTTATGAAGTCTATTCTTTGCATTGGAACTGAAAGAAAGAGTTTAAAATAACATTGTGAGCTCTTTAACCAAACAACGATGGCATCATGCAGCCGCCGTGTGTAATTTTAGATAGCATGTGTGACATTTAACAGTCAAGTCGGCAGCGCTGAACAATGGCATAACATGACAATAACATTAGTTTACCATCCCAGTTACATGGTGGCTGATCTCATCCTTAGCTCGGAGTGCAGGGAGCTCCTGGAAGTTATTGTCTCCCCAATTTGCTGACCATTTTCGGACGCTGTTCTTCCTTCTTTGACTTAGCTGCTAACTGCTTCTAGCAGCTTTTTAAATCTCCCAGAGATGGGTTGCACATAGTGTTGTCACGATACCAAAATCTTTGTTTCGGTACCCATACCAATATGAATTTCGATACTTTTCGATACTCTTCGGTACTTTTCCTAAGGAAAAGTCCTTTTGGATACAAACCTTTAGAACAATAAATAGTAGGGGTGTAACGGTACCCAAAAAAATCATGGTTCGGTAAGTACCTCGGTACGGATGTCACGGTTTGGTAACTCAAATGTTCCACCAAGTTTGTGTTGTCTCCCTTTGCGAGGCAGACTTTCTCTTGTCTTTTTTCACATGCGCCAGCTGTGAATGTTGATACAGGTGTTGTCATACACACCACTTGTGCAATCTGTGCTCCAATAGGAACAAGGAAGGCGTTTGTGTGCATAAATGAGTAAAATAAATTAAGGAATTGAATCAATTTCAAAGTACCGCTATTCTCCAAATGCAGTATAGTACCGTTTGGAATACTCTAGTACCGCGGTACTATTTTAGTACCGGTATACCGTGCAACACTAGTTGCACACATACATGTCAAAATGTCACACCCATAACCACCCGTATCTAGTGGTTGTAATCAGTTGTTCCCCATCACATGACATCCCAAGATACAGCCATCACAATGAAAAACAGGTGCTCTGGGATGCTTGAGTGCCATGTTAGCATCACTCTCACTTTGAAGCACATATTCCACCCACCTACATTGACAACAGTAGCTTTACGGGTGCAGAAAATGTGGCCTGTGACCGGGCCTTAAAACCGTTTTCTCGCATGTTCCTAACATTGAACAGGACACCTCAGAAGAAAGGATTTATACACCTATTTTAACTGGGGTGTCCTGCATTTAACAAAAAAGATACATGTGCTAGTGTTTGTGGAAAATAGGTATGAGAATTCTGTTTTCTTTTTAGTTTCTTTTGATTAGGATTTTTGCTTGTGATTTTGGTCCCTTCGTCTCATATATAGCAGAGTCTGCCTGCTTATTAGTCTGTCTGACTCACCACTGGCTGTGTACTTCTCTAAGACCTTTGTGACCTTCATGAAAGGTCTTAATATGTCATCATAGCCTTAATAACCAGCATCTCAAAGGAAATGTGGCTGCCCCAGCACCCTAGGGTGTGGCTCAGAAGTCTGCTCACTGTGCAGAGAGGGGTAGAGTGACAGGGTTCAGCTAAGAAGACAGAGATCTGAGAGACAGCACTGATATTAAGCAGCAGTGCCATTTCTTTCATACTTCTTTTCAGTGGGTAACAGTGGCATTCACCTGTTTAGAAATGGGGTTGGGGCTTCATTTGTAATCACAGCTTGTCCACAAAGTGCAGCTTGAAAGGTGAATGTTTAGTTCAAAAGTTGTGGTTCGCCTGGAAATATGATGGGAGACTAAGCACATACACGAGGAGACATCAACCCTCTTTTTATGTTCTGGAAGTACAGGAAAATAAAACACTTTAATGCAGAGGAACCTCTAGGCCTGATTTTTTGATTTGCTGCTTTATTCTAAATGCGTTCTAGTTTGCTCCCTATTTACAGTAAACTTATATGGGCTCATGACGTCCCAGTGTGCATCACATTTAAAGCTGCAATCAGTAATTTCTGACCACCAGGGGGCAGAAAAACTGAGAGCAAACTCCCAGAAACGTAGCCCTTGCAACGTTACCCTTGAGTCACTCACTGTTTATCAAGTGTTCCTGGTTGACCTGTTCAGGCTCCGACACCAGCTGACAGATGTCTTTAGTAGTGAGCATCTGTAGCTTACCATATATATGTACCATACCATTATTTTTGCATTGTGTCCATTGGCACTAGTTGTACACAATTGGCAGGTATTCAGCTAATTTAATCTTTCATTTGAGCTTTTGTATGTTTAACTCTATTTACAGCCCCTCATTTACTTTGGCACATTGCTGTTTTGTACTGGTGGCATAACATTAGCATACACTTGGCTCAGGGTTTTCTCTCCATTTTTTAATTTACTTTACTGTGCCTGACCATTTTCTGCCCATGTCTGTGTTCCTTCATGCCTGCTAGGATGACCAAACCAAACCTCTGCTCTTACTTTCTCAGCCAGCATTTCAATATCTCACAGAAATTTCTGTCTGGCACTCCAACTTTGCCCTTTTCTCCTATAAAAAAATAACTCTTTGTAAGCTAACCTTTAGAGTGGAATTTTGCAGGGTTTTTATGAATGCAGTCCCAGGTAGGGATGGATACTGAAACCCTGTTTTAAAGCTGGGGGAGGCAGATATCTGGGGAGGAGAGAAGCAGCCTTCGTCTTCTGTTCTAAGTCCCTCCCACCAGACCAACACAGACGGTGAGGTGCTCAAGCTAACGTTAGCTACATTAACGTAAACTTGAAACTGCAGCTGTGAGCCTTTTGCTCCTGTTAGCAAAAGGCTAAACTATTAGCAACATTCTCTTCATCCCTGAAAATTTGGGAACTGCCCATTGGTCCGACAGCCCATTGTTCCGACCATATTAAACCCATTGTTCCGAAGTCCGTTCCGAAATCATCATGATGCCCTGTGGTTAAGGTCTGGTTAGGTTTAGGCACAAAAACCACTTGGTTAGGGTCAGGAAAAGATCATGGTGTGGGTTAAAATGAAAAAGAAAGTGACAAACACATAAGCCGTGAGCCTGCTCCGCCTCAGGCCTTTCCCAGCTGACCCAGAGCCCGTCGTGGCGCACCATCAAGATAGAAATACGCCCGCCAGGAGCCGTTCAGCACTGTGGACCGTCGGACTAATGGGATGTCGTACCAATGACATGGACCCGAAAATTTTACCGATATCGATGCGTGTTTTGTTTCACATCAGACTCTCTTTCACGCCCTTTTTCATTGTCACTTTTGGCCGCGCTGTGTTGATTTGCATTTCCATCGCCATTTTAAGCGCGCCGTGCTACACCAAGCCGCAGCAGAGACAGACCTTCTCAGGAGTAGGTCCAAAAACCTGTATGTTCTTATTTTCTTCTCATCTTTTTCTTTGTTTGTGACGTTTATGGGCATGTACCCCCACAGTACTCGGGTGAGGTCTGGGCTTTATAAAAAGATAGCGACCAGGCACCAGACCGTAAGCAGCAGGTATCCAAGAGGGACAGCACTGAAAAAACACAATCATAGTGAGGCGAAACGCCAAACAAGTAACTCTGGGGTTGGGATATACTTTCACTTTTGCTAGTGTGCATGTTTACAAACAGCAACCGACAGTCCTGCTTATTATACTTTTAACAATACCCTTCACTAGCCCCTGGTCTCCAGTGCCTAATTATCTTATATTAACATCAGCCTCACATGAGGTAATATCTCCTACTGATATCCCAAATCCTAAACTCTCTGTCTCTGTTGGACTGCTGGAGCAGAATAAAAAGTTTTTTTAAAAAGTTGGCATATGTAATTAAACTACTGAACATGTACAGTATGTGTGTGTACATGTATGTGTGTGTGTGTGTGTGTGTGTGTTTGTTTTTGCAACCTTGAGCCTAAGTGCCTTCCACAATGAGCTCATCTCTGTGCAGCTACCAAGCAGAATTCTGTTGCCATGCCACCACTCAGTCACACTCAATCATCCTAAGGTCTATAAAAAGATGCGGGTATCCTGAGAGACGTGAATCTTGCCTCAGCTTTCACTCTCGCTGCTTCTTCTCCCCGTTTCCGCCTGTTCCGTCTCACAACACTTTGTCCTTCAGACTCCTCTCCCTCCCCTTTGCCTCTCTTTCCTCTCACCTTTTCTCTCTCCTCTCCTCTCCTCTCCTCTCCTCTCCTCTCCTCTCCTCTCTCCTCTCCTCCAAGAGGTCCCAGCGGTGATGATGAAGGTGCTCAATATCAGGGGAAATCCTCGCAGGGTGTCTGCAGCCTTCTCTCATTTATCTTTCTGTGCCAGAGCTTTAGTTTTGCGGAGCACAGTAGCTAACTCTCAGTGAGTTAAATATCCTGGATGTTAGACACTGTGATACATGCTCAGCACCTCTTTTCAATCTGCTCGCTGCATGCTGCCTGTCATAGAATGCTGTTGAATGTATTGCTGCAGTGTATTACATGGCTGCAAGCTGATTTTTCAATCATCAGTATTATAGATGTGTTTTTTCTGCATTACAGTATTCATATTCTCCCCATTAATAAGCCCACCGTGTGTTGAAACGTGTGTAAATAAAACATGCACCGTTTGAGATTATTACAAAAGGTTGCATCACGACAGTGAGCTGGTGTTATGTGCCAGCTGAGTGAAGTCGGTTCTCGCTGTAGCCTGCTGTGGAGGGGCAGTTTGTCCTCGGAGGCGAGGAAGAAAGGCGAGCAGTCTCTAGGGAATCGGAGGTTAGCAAACACACACTCCTTCTCTTTACTGGCCCACCTATGCCAGATACTTCACACAAGTCTTTGTTCTCTGAGGCAACATCTTTTGTTCCATTTGCTCAAGGCTTAGGTGAATTTGTTAGCAGTAAAAGTTACTGTACTTAAGATGAGGCACAAGATGCACTCTGCAATTTAGTGTTGCCTTGTATTTGAAGTGTGCAAATGCACCACTCTGACTGGGGCCGATTAATATAAACGTTTGAATTAAATCCCCTTTAATGTGGTTTATTTTTTTGTTTTGTTTTTTACTTATTCATAAGCATAAAAGCATAAGCTGCTTTCCTTTCACCTTTAACAGTATTTCTCACTTATAGCAGCGCGGCAGTCAGGGAATATTTTTACAGTTGCCATGGGAAAGAAAAAGGTCTGTTATTACCACAGCTGAATGTAACATCGTTGCCTGTTTCTGGCAAGTTATTGTGCAGCTCTCCACTGCTTTACTACAGCCAAAGATGGCATTTTACACTCAAACACCAGCTTCTGGAAAAAAAACAAAAAAACAATTGACCTGTGATTTCAACCAGAAGACAAAAAAAATCACTCAAATGCTGGCTTCCCTGGGGATGACGCTTCCTCCTCTTGCCAGATTTAGTCAGCAGAGCTTGCTGACACTGACTGTGGCACTGGGGTTTCCTAATTACTAGTTTTCAGCAGTTTCTGACTCTCCCTCTCTCCCCCTCCTTCTACCTGCCTCTGTTTTATGTTTAGATTTTGCTATTCACCACCTGCCTACAGTGCAAGAGGCAGCAGTATGCTGGAAAAAGGTGCATTGCGTCTTTATTTGCGTCACTGGTTAAGAGGAGAACATCCATCACATGCAGTACATACCGCTACATGTTTTCTGTCCTTGTTCAATATACCAGTGATGTGTTGATGGTGGGGGTGGGAGGCAGGGGGAGGGAGTCTCATAGCAACAGTCTTCTCTAAAGTCTACATCCACCTGGATAAGGCTGCAGTGGTATTTCCTGTTGTAGATTCACTGCATGTGCTGAGTATACACAGCCAGGGGGACCAGAGGTCATGTGAGTTAAATTGGTTGTATGTGGCGGGACAGCAGCGTATTCCTCTGATGAATGGAGAACCGGCGTGCCGCTAACCTCTCATCTCTCCAGGGTATGTTGGATGGAGGTTTCTTACACTACTGTTTTGCCCCGCCAGATCCCACACCTCGCCGAAGGTGTCCGCATCCACGGGGAGAAGGTCACGGAGGCGCTGAGGCCTTTCCACGACCGCCTGGAGGCCTGCTTCAAGCAACTGCGGGAGAAGGTTGAGAAACAGTATGGGGTAAAGACCCTGGTAAGAGCTTTTCCTTGTTTGTGACCTTTCTGTTACACGAAAAGTGCTTTGTAGCTCCGTGTGGTCATTTTTAGCAGGCACTAATGGAATCTGCAGCAGTTACTTTTATTTCTTCTGCTGTGTTGACCGAGGATTTCACATCAATATGTTATTGTTACACCTTCCAGAAATCCATTATCTTGGATTCTTGTCCTTCTGTTCCTTTGTTTGGTTTAGCATTTATTACACACACAAACACACACACACACACACACATTTATATACCTGACCATGCATATCGGCCTATACCGAGCCATGATACCATTTCATTATAAATAATAGTAGTGTTCAAAGTGTTCCACCATTTACGTCTCTGCAGAAGCAGACTTGCCAGACTGCACCCTGAGGTTGATCCCACCTGTCAGAGGTGTCATGCTGCCCCCGCTACCCTATACCACATGTTTCCCTCCTGTCATTCGATTGCCCCATTTTGGTCGTCTATATTTGAAACTCTTTCACAGATGTATGGTCGTAATATACCACCAAACCCTGTAATTGCTGTGTTTGAAGCAGCTCCACAAGGATTGTCCCTTCAAGTAGCCGATCAAATTCCATGGCTTTTGCATCCCTTCTGGCCTGCCGAGTAATTCTCCTGAAGTGGAAGGACAGGGCTCCACCTTCACATGCGCGTTGGGTCAGAGAGGTGATGGCACACCTAAAGCTAGAAGAGCTGAGATATCGCAGTCAGGGGCTCTATTAAAAAGTACTGCGAGGCGTGGCAGCCCTTCCTGGACTACTTGAACAAGCTTCCATATGCCAAGTTGACTGAATAAGTATTTATTTTATTATTTTAATTATTATCTAATTTATTTCAATTTATTTTCTCTTTTTTTATCTGTCTGTTATTATCCCTGTTATCCAATATAACAGAACTAGATGGCACCAAAAAAAATTACATTTGAAAAACTCAACAGCAATGTGTCAGAAATCTGAAAATCTAAAAATGACAGGGCTACTCAAGATAATCCACAGTCCTTGTTGTGAGCAGTTTCATGCAGATATTATTTTCTTTCTCCCAAACTACACCTGACAACCGCATCACCGCACAGAAGGAAATGTGCATCACCTCTCTGTTGACAGCACAAGGTGTAAACATTAATGACGTCCTCTTCTGCTTAGCTGTAATGTAAGCCAACTCAGTGGTACCAGGTGAGCAAGCCGTAGATGTGCTTCCTTCTGTGCAGTGATACAGTTGGTGGGTGTAGTTCGGTAGAAAGAAAATAGTTCCTATACGAAACTGCTCACAACAAGGTCTGTGGATTATCTTGAGTACCTGGGTCACGATATCTGGAAAGGGATGTTGCTGGTTCTGCTGTATTGAAGAGAGGGCAGACATCTCTACGGCGGATATCTCCGACACTTGGTAACTGGTAAATAGCACTACAGTTGAGAGGAAAAATATGCATGTATGATTTAAGGTGAACTGTCCCTTTAAGAAAACAAACAGCATAATTAAGACAACAATGTTGTATTCCATTTCTAAGAGCTGATGTCAGGACCACAAACATAATTAACAAATACCTCATTAAGCTACTAATTTCTGACTCTGAGTTCCCTGTTCCTTTACATTACATCCTCCAAATGCACTCAGAACATGTATGTCATACTTGCCCTTTACTTTTAGCTGAAGTCAGCTTGTTTGCAGCGGGATGCTGCTGGCGACCACCTCCCATCTCTCTCCCCCTTTTACAGATTTAATTGTTGCTCGGCCAAGCTTCTCCCTCAATCTTGCCCGAGGTAAAGGCGCCCTCGCTCAATTTAAAGGGAGAGGGTGGTGACCTTTCAAACGAGAGAAAAGCCATCACTTTTCAGGGTGTGATAATAAGGTTATCCTATCAGATGTGTGATGGCCCCTTTCTTCGCTCAAAAGGACTCTTTAAATGCAGAGGGGTTCATTGTTAAAGCTGCTCTTAACAGGTTTTTTCCTCCAGCAGGTTCTTTTTACAGAAGTAAATAGTACTACCAGAGTTCTTTTCCTCTAACTTTATGTTCCATTGTGTTGCTGTGTTGGAGTTTTGTACGGCACATAGAGTAAGGATGCTACTGGGACTGACTCCTCCCTATATCTCTAGTACTGTAAACAAAAATATGAATGCACAGAGCAGAGTCAGTGACTTCAAGCTGACTTCCTGTTGTTTTTCTCCTCCTCTGCGGTGTCAGCCGGCAGCAGACGAACGTCGGGGGCCTCGTCCTCACTCCATGGTGCGCTCCTTCACCATGCCCTCCTCCCAGAGGCCACTGTCAGTGGCTTCAGTCACCTCCATCTCCTCTGACAACTCCCCCTCCAGGCCTGGCTCTGATGGGTAACACCTAGTTTACAGTTCTTCAGGGCATTGAATACCATACATTCTCCTTGGCTTTTGGTCATCCCATTTGAGCAGTTTTTTTGGGGGATTACTGTCTTGTAATAATCCCCATCGTCATTATCTCAATAAGTCAGTGTCGGGCCTCATGTTTAACATTTGTACAGAGATTCCATTTTAAATTCAAACCTAAGAGGATTTCTGAGGATGTACCAAGGCTGCTTTTGATTAATTAACTCTGAGTTCATGAAGACTGTGCACCTGTCACATACAACATAAATCCTTACCGACTTCATTTTGCAAATGTGAATAACATTTATGTCATTAACTATGTAGTTATTCTTGCTTTGATAGTCCTTGTCTGATTGGACCGTCATCGTATTATCGTTCTAACAGTTTTGCCCTGGAGCCTCTCCTGCCAAAGAAGCTGCACACCAAGTCTCAGGACAAGCTGGACCGAGACGAGCCCGAGAGGGAGCGCAAAGAGAAGAAGAAGGAGAAGAGGAACAGTAAGCACCAGGAGATCTTTGACAAAGAGATGAAGACCACGGAGATCCCTCTGCAGCCCACTGAAGCTGTCATACTGTCAGAGACGGTACTGAGAAAGTGACCTGTGCAAGAAATTCACCTTTGTTTTTCTCCTTTCCTCTGTCTCTTATTGTCCTTTTGTTATTTTTACTTTGTCGTATTTCCCATTGTTTTCTTGAACAATTGTGTATTCTCCTACTCCTCTCCTCTTTTCTCTCTTGTACTTTATCCTACGCAAATGTAATGGCAATTTGCTGTAGGTGTTCATGGTTCACAAAGAAAGTAGGGGTGATGATAAATGCAGAGAAGTTAGAGAATTAATATGCATGCAACTAAAGTCACGTATTGGCACCAAGAACAAAAAAAGGTTTAGACTGGAAGCATCATGATGCTCGTTCTTCTTCTTTGTTTGGGAAACCTATTCCTGGTTCCAGAGCATTATGGACAGGTGACCCCTGACCTTTCTTTTAGTGCCACCATCAGGCCAGCACCACTCTTGTACACAAGAATAATCTAAATCTAATGGCCAGGTTCCTATGATATTTTCTAAGCACAATGATGCTCCCAAAGGTTGTTCTCCAGGGCCACCCTTACATGAATTTTATATATAAGATAATTAAGTAGTAGATTATCATACAGTTTGCTAGGCATATTCATGGTTTTCAGAGGATGAATCCAGTTGACTTCTCCTCCTCCACCAAACGCCCCACTTGCACACAGGATCTCATACAGTATGCATACATTAAAGGGATACTTCAGATTTTGGAGTGATGTTGTAGTGATGTTGTATGACAGTTTCAAACACAAGTACACAAATCAGCTTCACTATAACTCGCAGCATTCACAGACAAACACTTGTCTTTATCTGGACACATTTTCCCCACAAATACAACATGCTAACGTTATTAGCACAAGCCTATGGCATTTTACATTGTATAAATTAGCCTAGCAGCTAGCGGAGATTTCCTCAACTCATATCAAACCAGGGACAACAGCAACATTTAACAAAGGTAACAACTCAGAAGGTTCACTGACAAAACAACTGTCTTATACTAAACACTTTTTCCAAACAAATATAACATGCTAATGTTATTAGCACAAGCCTATGGCATTTTACATTGTATAAATTAGCCTAGCGAATAGCAGAGATTTCCTCTGCTCATATGAAGCCAGGATAAATCACACACAAGACTTAAAATGCTATTTTTGTGGAGGCTTTATTGTCTTCACAATTTATTTTTTCTTATCTGTGAAATTAAAGTAAATAAAAGCTTTGTTTCCACTGAGGGAAATGGTTTCAGCTTACAGAAATAGACAGGAGGTCTGAGTCGCTGCAATGTGCAGTTATATTTGCTTTAAACTGATATTGATTATTTTAGGTGGCTTAAAGCAGTACATTGTTTAACTTAGATGGTGGCACTACTGCCTGCTTCCTCAAACTGGGAGTGTGCTGACCACCATTTTCTGTAGGTAGTACACTGACTATAGGTAACCACCTCATACAACCCCACTTCAAAAAATCAGACCCATTCCTTTAATGTGCCTCAGAGCAGTGGAAGACCTCTGTCGAATGGGTTGCAGTTAACACTGTATCTCTAAGAGGGTCTTTACCCTTTTCACTTGCTCTTTATTTTCTCCTCTCACAAATCTTCTACCTTTTCCTCTCTACATCACCGCTCACATTTATACCACCCAACTGCTCCCCCGTTCTCCTAGCACTCTGCATATCTTTATCTTCCCCCTCTCTGCTGTTCTCATGTTCCTCTTCACCACCGCTGTGTCAATTACAGCAGAGAGGTATCACTGTGTTCTGCATGCCCAGTGGGAATGCTCACTGGCTAATGGCATTAAGATAAGGGTAGGAATGGGATCCAAAAGAGGCCCCTGGCAGTGTTGGAGCCGTCTGGCTGATGGTAGAAGACTCCTGCCTCAGGGGTCAAGGGTAGAGCACCTAGAGGTCTGTGGTAGTCACCAAACCGTGGCAGGATATAGGAGTTTTAGTTAAAGTTTAATCTGAAACGCATAAATCAAGAAAATTGCTTTTTCACCCTCAATACAAATGTCAGTTTTGTGTTTTAGTGTTCTGGAAAAAGCATTACATCCCTGAATGAAGTGTGTTGTTATTTTCTGTTCCTCCCTCGTGGCTGACTGTTTGAGTTTGGCCAATTACAAAGATGTTTGTTAATGTAGCCTACAGTGTGGAATAGCCCTGAGGATATATCTTTTCATATTCAAATTCCTGCCATAATAAACCTGGGAGAATGCGGTCTTGCATGCAAACAATGATTTGTAACCACAAATAAGATATTGCAACCCAATGAGCACATTTATCCAAATGGTTTCTCCTTTAGGAATACAAATAGTCGACTTGATATGCGTGTGGATACACACACAGCCGTCCCAAAGGAGATGTGAAACAAGTTTTCTCCGTTTAAATGATCTTTTATTGATTTTCTGTTATATCTCACCAAAGACTCAACTTATTTGCCAAATAATAAATTCTGTTCTCAGTTCTGTTTTATTGGCTTGCTGTTTAATTTAGGTTGTTGTAGTCTGAGCACTCAGTAACAACTGAATCCCTTATAGTGCCTACTTCTTTTTTGTGTGTTTGTTTGTGCATGATCACACAGATCAGCCCACTACGGCCTCAGAGACCAAGAAGTCAAGTTCTCAGCCAGATTGGTGGAGACCGTCGCCTCTCCGTGTCCCCTGGACCCCCGTCTTCCTCCTCCAACTCCTCCTCCTCACCAGGACCCCCGCCCATCACACCCAGGAACAAACTCTCCTTCAGCCTGCACACTGTTTCCAGTACGAGCAATCTTACTTCACTCTCACTACCATTCAAACACACACTAAATAAAGAGGTTGTATCATCTTTAGAGTGAAGCTACAATCTCTGCGGGCCCTCTCTGCCTCCCTCTGACTTCTTGCATCACTGTTACCACATGCTGTGGTACACACGATGATGCTCTGTTTGATCTAAAACATAGCGCTATGAGTCATATTAGCAACACTTCTGTAAATGGCCAAGCAAATCCTAACTGTCAGCACCACACATTTACCTCTATATTTGTCTCTTTGTCACAAGGCTGGCTGCTAACACCAGAATCTCTCTTAATGGGCTCGATGTGTTAACGCAGTTATCAAGGATGTTCATTGTTCCTTCGAAGTTCTTTGCATCGTGAGACACAGTGTTCCTCATTCACATGCATTGCCTCCTCTCTTAGAGGCTTAAGATGAAACATTTTACCTGATGAGAGATGCTCAGACATGATTTATTACTTGACTGAATCCATTTCATCTCAGGATTGTATAACAATCTGCTGAAAGATTGTTGGAACTGAAAAGATGCACTCAATCAATTTAGTATTGTACTTCTTTAAAGTCAAAAAAGGAATATTCAACATAAATGCAACAGAGGATGAGATATCCTGAGTTTGGTTGATTGAATGGGTCTAACACCAAAAACAGTGGATGCTACACTTCCCATAGTGCAACTTTAACAGCACTTTTTCTACATCCTTCTGGCCTGCTAAATACCAAAGTTAACTTTAAGCCTTTCTTCTTATTATAAACCATTTATTCAGTGTTCATTTTGTCAGCTATCTTCAATTTAGTCTTAATCTTTAGACCAAAATGCCCATTAATTTGAGTTGCTTTTATCCTTAACAGTTTTAGTCTAATGTTTAGTCATTAGTCTTAGTAAAAATGTATTTTTCTCTAACTAACTAACTAACTAACTAACTAATTCAGTCAGGCTAATACAGGGATCAGAAATTGAAATCAAGGTTACAGGTTATATGAAAAGTTGAAGTGTCATTTCGGCATATAACACATTTACAAACTTATATTTCTCCAGCAGAGTTTTTGACTGTTTTAAAGGATGATTTATGAGCACATGCTTACTGATCAATGTTTGAGAAGCTCAAAATCTCAAACTTTGAGACCACAAATAGACAATTTGACTCAACTAGAGAACTTGGATTTGTGCCCAGGTTCATTTTAAGCTTTGACTTATCGATGTCACAGTTAAAAAGCGGAACAATAACTTATATTGCACTATTTCAGCCTGAATTTGTTCTAAATCTGCAATATCTTAGTCTGGAGGTTTAAACTCATGCCCTCTCAGAGTCTCTGATTAAAACTGCACTTTCAGCTCTGTCAGAGGAAAATCAGCTGAGTTCAGACTTTTTACTTATAGCACAGCTACACCCACAAATAAACTAGCCTCCTACCTGTCTGTAAAGTCCGGTGGCCCCCAGAAGGCTGCTCACTCTGCCTGCATGCTGCTGCAGGTCAGCAGCTACCATGCAGAGCTAGCTGCTAAGAGCCACTGCTGCAACAACAAACCTCACAAAGCCATTCAAAAGCTCCACCATCCACAGTCAGAAACACTCAGCTGCTTATTTACTGCCAAGTTGCAGCTCAAAACTCCAGTGTAGGTGTTTTGCAGGCTACCAACCCGTTGGTTCTCATAGCTCATACTCCTCATATGGCACTAAAAAAGTCCTGTTTCGTCAATGAAAATAAAACATACATTTCATCATAGATTTACAGCCAAAGATCTATGTTTGTTTCGATCATCTTCATCATTAAACAAATGTTTTTGATTGATCATAGTTTAGTCACTGTAATGAACACTGCATTTATTAAATGCTTATAAATGCTTAATTTGGGAGGTGAAAGTTAATTGTTTCCAAATTTGTCGTATCAAAGTCAATATAATTCTGATGACATGGTCGGGGTCGAGCAATAAAGTCCATACTTGACCTCAGAAATAATGTTTTGACAAAAAGTATCTTAAAATCTTCATGTATAAAATCAGTTCCCTTTTAAGTGTGTGCAGGAATTTTTCCCTCTTCAAGTGTCATTTTGCCCGAGTTCTTCTTGTTTCTATAAACATACAGATTGTCTAAATGATTGGAAATTCACCAGAAATAGCCCACTGATCTATTTTGTGTCTCAGCCATGCTGTTAACAGAGTAGACACACAATTTGATGATGAATGTGAGCTGATGAGCGCCCTCTTGCACAGGTCTGGAGCTGAACGGGATGGGCTGTTCTGACAAAGGTGAAACCCCTCCTCCGCTGCCAGTGAAAGGCAGCAATGCTGATTACGGCAACCTGGTAGATAATCAAGACTTGACGAGTCCCTCGACGCCTCCACCACCCCCGCCACATCAAAGGGTAGGTGTTTTAATTAGGGCTGAGAGGAGCTCCTTAATGATGCATGGCACTTATAATGAAACAAGAGGCCGCTACACACACTTGACATTCAGGTCAACCTCCTCCACTATCCCCTACCCCTGTATGTCCTGTGCTAATGTGCATGCGTCTGTGTCTGTGTGTGTCCATGCATGTTTCACACTCACATTTGTGCTTCATTTTTGTAATGTGTGTCACAGAAGAGTGTAGGCATCAGTCAGTTAGCAGCGAGGGCCTACGCCCGCCTGTCCACCCCGCTGTTATTTATACTTGTTCCCCCCAGCCAGCCTGGTGCTCAGACGTGATTGATTGGATGATTACTTTACCTCTCACATCCATCAGGAGCTCTCCCGCTGTTAATCAGCGGCTCATCTCTCCACACTCACCGACATCCACGCTAGCCATCCTCTCGCCTCGCCACTCCGTTAACAAATGTTATTTATCCACTGTCACAGCCCGTGGACAGGTAGTAAGACGGAGCCTCTGCAGACAGTGTGGCAGCAGGCGGACAGTAGTGTAGTGAGAGCAGATGTTCAGAGGCTGAGTGACAGCCGCTCTTCATTTACAGCCCATGATGGAGGCAGAGGTGAGGTCATGACTAGTCTACTTCTTCTCTGTTGTCAGTTGTAAGCTCAGGTGTTAGGAATGGCATGCAGGTGGACGGAATAGTCCCAATGTGTAATTTTTTGACCACATAGATATGGACTATATTCATTAAAGTAATTTAATAGTTAACTTATAATCAGTAATGAACATTTTGTGTGTCTATGTGTCATGTGGTCTTTGCAGGTGTTATTGATTGAGAAAATATTTACCAGCATTAGAAAGTTTAGATTTAGGTGCACCAAGATCAGACTATATGATATGAGCCTAAACATGGCCCTGTCTCATAGGTGACAGGTGTTTAGAAGGGAAATTAGCCCCCATACAACAACTTGTCTGTTATAATGGAAAGCAACACATTCTTGCTCTAGAAAAGGGGTGTCAAACTCATTTTAGTTAATGGGTCACATAGAGCCCAATTTGTTCTTAAATGGGTCCGACCAGTAAAACCATTGCATAATGATCTGTAAGTAACAACAATTTTTCCCTTCCTTTTGGCGTAAATAAGTCCAATCTGAAAACGTCGTCCATCTGCAGAACAGATGATGAACAGCCTGAGATGTCTTAAGAAAAATAAGTGCAGTTTCCAACAATATGTCTCAGTTTGTCCACATTGAGTCAGTCTGCCACTCACTGTCATTGCATGTGCATCTTTCAATACATTTCCACTCCTTTGTAGCAATGCTGGCATCACCACACCAAACTAAATTGGAAGCTATTGGGGCGTCGGTAGCGTAGTGGATAGTGCCGGCGCCCCATGTGCAGGGGGATGCCCCGCTGCAGCGGTCGCAGGATTGAGTCTGGCTTGCAACCAGTTGCTGTATGTCACCCCCCGCTCTCTCTCACCGTGTTTCACTCTGTCCTGTACATTAAAGGCAAAAGCCCAAAGTAGTAATCTAGAAATTGGAAGCTAGTGAGGAAGCAGGTTAAGTTATCCCCTTCCTTACAAACCATTTAAATATCTTTAAAGTTTTGGCAGTGCTCCAGTAATGTGGCTCAACCAGTGATGGTTTAAGATAGATACAGATTCTTATATACTGAAGCCATCCATCCACTCATTCGAGGCCAAGTTGTGGGGGCAGCAGGCTGAGCAAAGTATTCTAGATGCCCCTCTCCCGAGCAACGCTTTCCAGCTCATCCTGGGGGTCTGAGGCGTTCCTAGGCCAGATGAGATATGTAATCCCTCCAGAATGTTCTGGGTCTGCCCTGGGGCCTCCTACCAGTGGGACGTGCCTGGAACACCTCTAACGGGAGGCACCCAGGAGGCATCCTGATCAGATGCACGAACCACCTCAAATGACCCCTTTTGAGGCGCAAGAGCAGCTCTACTCTGAGCTCCCTCCGAATGTCCAAGCTCTTTACCCTATTTCTCAGGCTGAGCCTAAAAAACCCTTCATAGGAAACTCATTTCTGCCGTTTGTATCCGCGATCTGATTCTTTCAGTCACTACCCAGAGCTCATGACCATATGTGAGGGTTGGGACATAGATGGACCAGTAAATTGAAAGCTTTGCGCCAGCATCACTGCAAGAGTCGCACCAAAATGCCGATCCATCTCACACTCCATTTTATCCTCACTCGTGAACAAGACCCCGAGATTGTAGAACTCCTTTGCTTGGGGCAGTAACTCTCTGCCTGATGTAGGCTACTCACTGTTTAAGTTGCTCTTGAAACCTGACACTTCTTAAGCCCAGTTCAGACCAAAGAGTCGCAACAAGACAAACTAATTTAGAACGTTGCAGCAGTGTGAACTGGCCTGTCTGAGCTTGACTTGCGCTGGCTGATGGTGTCACCTGTGACTCAGTTTGTCAAGTTGCCAGCACCTGGTTTTAGAGCATAAGGCACCTCATCCGTTTAAATAGCCAATCAGCTTATAGCAGTCAGTTCGTCAAGTCAGGTATAAACTGTCAGTAGACGACGTTTTCACTTAAACTTAGTCCGTCTCATTTACATTTCACTGGCTGTTGACACGTACGACATATGTCAGACGGTGGGTCGCTGCTGCTGCTGCTGCTGGCTGTATGGGCACATGGAGCTCTGACTGATTATTCGGCGCTCGTTATTTAAATTATTGTAGCGTTTTAACTATGAGTACTGTTGCTCTAAAGCTCGGGTCGTTAAGTTTATGTTTTTGCCTCAGACTGTACCAAGTATCTCACAATCGCTATCCTCATTCTTATTTTAAGAAGCTACAAATTATATTCAGCAACAAAAAATAAGCCTGAAAACCTGGAGGGTTTTCAGAACGTTGCAGACCAGCAGGTAGTTGCAAGTATCATCTCCCTTTGTCACAACTCTTTGGTCTGAACTGGACTTTAGTATTTAGAAATGCATCAATATTTGGTGTGCAAAGTCATGCAGTGGGCCAGATTGGACCCTCTGATGGGCTGGTTCTGTCCCAAGAGACATATGTTTGACACCCCTGCTCTGGAAAGTCTGTCTCTCGCCCCCCTGCCATGCAAACTGCAAGATATGATAGGTTGAGGTTTAACATGTAGTTAGACCATTTAAGGCACCATCATGTAACCTGACATAGTGACAATCTTAGAAGACATAAATGTTGTGTAAACTGATCCTGGCATTGAAATACCCGTCAGATTAAATAGGGATTGATCGCAGCTTTACACCCTGAGATCTGAATTTCAGTTTCAAGTTTCAAGATTGCTTTTTTTGTCTGTTTGCAGCACATTCCACCTCCTCTGCCCAGCAAGACCCCTCCTCCACCTCCTCCCAAGACCACCAGGAAACAGGCCTCCATCGATTCAGGAATTGTACAGTGAACAAAGACGCTGACAGTAGGACCGAACACCACACTGACAACACAACAAAAACAACATCAACAGTAACCGCTCCCACCGAAAAAGCGGCTGATTTTACCCACACATTCCTCGCTCCCTGTCCCAGCTTGACAAGATGAATACCTCACCGCAGCCCGCCCCTTCGTATCATCTTTTTTTTTATTTTTAAATTTCTTTTCCTATCTTGTTTTGCTTACAGTTTGACGATGATGCAGTCTGCAACAGGGAGCATGTTGCACAGATGAGTAGTCACTGAATTTAAAGACGCCTGACGCCATGCCACTTCAAGACTTTATCAGGACCAACAGCTTTCCAGTACTGACCCACTCTCAAGTATACGAGAGCACATTAAAGAATAATTCCTCTCTTTTATTCATATTCCCACTATGTACAGAGGTTTGTATATATGATTTTATTTTATTTCATTTTTTTGTATGTGATTTGACTCTTTTTGTATTAACGTATCATTAGATTAAGTGGCATTTATATGAAACAAAAAAGGGCTTGTAGGTTTTGAATTGACAGGGACTTTACAGAGTTGGTATGTGAGAACCTATCATGGATTTTATTGGTAAAAACTTTTGGAGTGCACATACAACTAATTCCTATCACAGTGTCATATCTTGTTCCGACCTTGTCCTAGATTGCTGTAACCTTGGTTTTCAATAATATTGACTGTTCCCAATTCACTACTGACATGACTTCTGAATAAACTTTCAAATGTATGTATTTTTAAAAAAAATAAAATGTCTGCCTCATTATTTTTTGTCTACGGCAAGAGAGGCTGAAAATAGATGTGAGTGTTTTCATATTTCTGAAATCCAAAACAAACTGGCAATCTGTACGTGTTTCCTCCCTTCTGCTGAACACTCGGTAACAAAGCTTTCCGTCTGCTTGATTGACAGCCGTCACCATCAGCCCGCTTCATTATCAACACACAGGCAGTTTCATACTGGGACATGTTACGCCATGAAATGACTTCTATATAGGCTAATGCAATCTCATTTACATAATGTGTCCGCTCACCAAGTGATCGTTTCTCTTTTTCAAAGCTGAAAGTGCGGATCTGGAATGTGGCCCATATTTGAAATATATATTATAGCAGCATAGATGAGCCAACAAACTGCAGGTGCCAGCTTTGTCCTGCTTCATGCATTTTTTAATTCAGCTTTTATAGAAACAGTTGAAGGTCACACTAAAATTTCTCCATTTAAAAGCTGTGTTTTTTTCACTCTGCTGCAGCATAATAACACGTCATGTGAATCATTTTTCATGGCTTTGTTTAATTTTGTCATTTAAAAATTATAGATTGGGTGTCATGGGACTTCCATCCAAGACACACAGGCTGACAAGTTTGTATTCAGCTTTCTATGCTTGATGGGTTTAATGTATTTTGACTCCAAATTAATGATAGGAGTTTGAACCATTAAGGCAGAGTATAATTATCTGTTGTGCAGCAGCTTTAAATTGAGTTAAACTTTAATTAGTTTAGTAATATGTGCATCACTTTGGGTGTCGGTGGAATAACTTGACTAATATAAAGCTAAATGACGGTGATCATTTTGGCATTTAAGGCACACGGTTTTTCGGAAATATAGTCTAATCATAATGCCTTTGTGTATGTTGCAGTGAGGGTTTTTAAACAATTAGCCTGATTAGTCTTAATAATTAAAAGTTAATCCTATGATTGTCACCATGTAGCTTTTGTAGTCATTTTCCTTCACTAATTACAGGAATACTTCACCCCCTAATGAACATTATTATCAATTACTCACCCTGTTTTACATTGAATTCCTGAACAAAACTTAACATGAACGACGGTGAACGAAGAATCCAAAAAATGTTCGAAGCAAAGGGGGTACATGTAGGCAAACACCATCAACATCAAAACATCCATTAACAAACTCTCACACAACTCGTGCAGTATAATCTAAGTCTCATTTATCCATTCGTACGCTCAGTGCTTCCCAAACATACAGCCCTTTCCAATGGGGAACAGAACTAAAAGCAAAACTCATCTATTCTCTCTTCAGAGCCAGACTCAATTTACAAAAACAGTCATTTTACCTTGTTGAACACAGGAGCTGCTGGTCTACTGCTGCCTCAGTCAGTTAGGTTGTTTGGGTAATTGTGTGACTTTGGTGTTTCAAAGGGTTAGTTTGGATTCACCAAAGTCACACAGGAATCGAGACAGAGGTAGACCAGCAGCTCCTGTGTTCAGCGAGGTAAAATGACTTTTTGTAAATGGAGTCTGGCTTTGAAGAGAGAAAAGACACATTTAAGTTTTATTTCTGATCCCAGATGGAAAGGTCTCTCTGTTTGTGTCTGAGCATACGACTGGATAAATGACACTCAGATTATATAGTTTTGCTGTAGTAGCAATTCATCAAGAATTTTCGGATTCTTCGTTCACAGGAGACGTGCAAGAAAAACACGTTTTCTTCAAGAATTCACCATAACACTGGGTGAGTACTTGATATACAAATGATCATTTGGGAGGTGAAGTATTCCTTTAAGAAAGCTAAATACACATATTTAGGTTTTTTTTTTTAAACTGGTTTCCAGCTATTATTTTCGCTCCAGTGGCAGAAAGCTGCTGTGAAATTGTGCTGTTGAACCCTCCATTACCGAATCCTCATTTGCACATTTTGTAAATGTATTACAGGCCCCGTTATGTGTACCATAAAACCAGCTTGTGGGACCTTTTTGAAGTGTTTGCCCCAGGTGGCTCATATTCCTCTGCTCTCTTATTCTGCTGACACTTTGTGAGTGGGTGTCCGCCTGAGGAGAAATGCACAAACTGTAACATCTGTTGTTTGAAGGTTTTTTTGGGTTTTTTTTTTTTTTACGTCTCAAGAAAGTTGGGGTTTAAAAGCTCTCTCGTCCCAATTAGGAACATGCTGAATGACATCTCTTCCCTTGGAGTTTTATTTGGGAAAAGCAGTCATAAGAGACCACTTGTAATACTGTAGCTCATGGGTGGTATTTTGTTCAGACAATAAAATGTCTCATTAATATGTTGGTAATTCACCCACTTAACAAAATGCAGAATTAAAAGCTTAATTGTTCATTAAAAAAACAAACGAATAAATCATTTGATATGTGTTTATAATTCCCAACACAGCCAATCTTCCGAGAGGCTAGAATGAATCCGAAAGGTGGCAAAGCTTTGAAAAAACCATTATTCAATAATACTCATTTGGAATCTATTCCATTTCCTGTCATGCTTCCTCTTCCAAAGACCCAAGCTCCCTCTTTTCCCATGTGTATACAGTAAAATCCATTTAATCCAGGCGAGGACCAATCATTGTTGTGTACATGTTATCACTGCTGCCCCATAGGGCCTTCATTTGACCATTTACTATCTGTCGAGATGATAAATTGCTCTCAAAAAAACAGAAAGAAATGGAGTAAGTAATATTCGATAAAAATGCAAGTTTTACTATCATACCAGTGTCATTTTCTCTTGTGGTTTCCCTCTTTTCTCGTTCCTCTCTTCCACTTTGACCCAAGGCTCTACTACCTGACTCTCTCTAAGGACCATTACCCTTTGCTTCAGTGCAGTACCGTACACTTCTTACAATAACAAAAACTATGATGGTGTTCATTAAAGCCTTTCTCCACACCGTTAATGCACGTTCGACCCACTACATGGTAACTTGAACAACAAACCTTTGGAAATTTATGGTTGCAATTGATTCCATGTAAAAAGAAAAGGGAGTGTAAAAGGTGTCACATGAGAAAAATGAATGAATGTTAATGGCCACTAACTTAACAGCCACTCCTAATTGTCAATCAATAGCTGCAAGCCAAAGTATGGAGTGCTAGAGTGTTGACCGCTGCACTGCTAAACACAATGAAGACAGAGGCTGTGCTAGCTCAGACCTCTGGGTTTGCTGTTAAATGCTTTCCATTGAGATGAAATTTCAGGCTTGAAGTACTCCGATGGTACGAAAATTCCTCACTGCAGAAATTGCAGAGAACAGTGCTCCTGTCAACAGTTCCATCTTGGCATCACGGGGTTAAGCAGCATTCTCTCATCTGCCTCCATCATGTGACAAAGCCACTGTGGCCTTCAGTGACGCACTGGGTCAAAGGGCACAACAGAACCCGATTAATCAGCGTTTTTTTTAATATCATATATTTTCTGCATGCAGGGCCTATAAAAAGTATTCACCTCCCCCTCTGACCTTTTTGGTTTGTCATTATTTGTATCACATTGAATTTAGGTAGGATTTTTTTCATTCCAGCTTGTCACATATCGCTGTTCGGTCAGTGCCATTCACGTCAACGTACTACATGCAAGGTATCCTCCTGCATTTGTTGTTAACGTTGCAGGACGGCATTTCAGCATAAGCCTGTTAAATGCATTGTGTCTTTTCACAATATATGTCCGTTCTCACAGGAAATGTACAGTTTCTGCTTGTTAGTCTTTTTCAAAATAAACTTACAACGTTGGTAAAACAACTCATATTTACATTCTTTGCGCTACACAAGCACGTGGCTAGGTTTAGAAACAAAAACATTGGTTGGCTCTACATTCATACGGGAAGTGAAGAACAGCCTCCCAGGTGAAAGTGCAGGGTTTGTTGGACCCACCCACCTCCCCTCCCGCATCCCTTATGGGACTTTCCAGCTCCATATATTACGTTGTTACCAAGCAGCAACCTCCAGGGATGACGAGTGAAGCCAATCCTGAAGTGCCAAAAACTGCAGTTCGTTGAATGGCCACTTGAGGCAGGCTCCAAAAGCGAGTCAATTCCCACAGACCCCCATGTTAAAATGCTCAACTTTACGGCAGAAATAAACATGTTTACAGCCTGGTCCAAAAAATGGTTTTGGTCTCTATAGATAATTTCCCCTTTCATGACAACTGTAAGGGGGGTGAATATTTTTTTTATAACTTATCCATTTAAAGTTGCACATAATTAAGGGCGTGGTCACTTTGAATGACAGGTGGCGCCATCACGGGTGGCTAACTAGCCGCTGGCTGTCTGCTAGGCGTCATCTCAGCTAATTCACAAGTCATTGAACCTGACCTCTCAGCCGTGTTTGTGCCTTTTGGATATTTTGTTTCATGAGGGAGCTGGCACCAAGCAGGAGCATGAGCGGGAGCAGCCAACACCACAAGGCTAGCCAATGTAGCATAGCTTGTTAGCCTAGCTTATTAGCCTTAGCTAACTTAGCAGCTTTGAGCGAGGTGGGCCTGTTTAAACAACCAGGCTTCATTTGGCCTGCCTCTTTGCCCATTTTTGATTGGCCGGGAGTTGGGCGGAGTCAGGCACTGCCAAGATGGCGACGGCCAAAACCGCCTACTTTGAGCTTCAAATCCGCTCCTCAGAAACCAATGTGTGACATCATGGTGACTACATCCATATTTTTATACAGTCTATGGTTGTTACCAGCAGTGTTTCAAACTGATGCCCTCTAGTGGCGTATCATACTGTGGCAGTACGCATAATAAAATTCCTTTCCGTAGTCCTAATGAATTCTCCTTCACGTCTTTCATGGTCTCGTGATGTTTTCCATCAGGGTTAAAGAAAAGTGCATAGGAACGTTTTTTGTTTTTTTTTTTTATGTTCAACCGCAGCCCAGGACCCTTAGGTAGCCTTCAGACCAAAGATTCCCCTTGCAATGACTTGCAACATGCAACTACGTGCACCCATTTGCAACTAAATGACCTTGCAACGTCTTGCAACAGTACAGTTCACACCAAGGCACCTAGCTGAGACTGGCTCTTGTGACATCACATAAACCGCTGTCGTTTCTACAGCAACGGATACGTTACAACATAA